ACCAGTCACCCAGAACGCCTCGCTGAGACCAGATAGCGGTGATAGATGGAATTCAAGTGGTCCACGAAATACTCTGCGTCTGAATGTTGACGAATTTCCTTGTCGAGGCCGCAATCTATGCACTTCAAGTACGTACGCCGAATACCGCTTTCCGCAGGCTGTTCTCCCTTGTCTTCTCGCTGGGTATCCAGTCGGGAGCACACCGTAGAACCCTCAATCAAAAATTCTGGATGCTTTTTCTTGATGTAGTCCAACAGACCCTGGCACCAAGACGTAAGAAGATCCTGACGCTAGTGGAAGAATGCAGTTGTAAGTCTTGACTATGCAGTGAACATAGATACACAAGTACATGACTTTCAATATTGAAGCAGAACTTACCTCTACATCGCTCTCTTCCCACTGATGGTCCTGTTGCAGCAGCGTATATTGAGTAGTCAAGTGATCAGAAAAAGTGGTATATGTTTCTGGTTTCATTCGCGTCTCAGCCGTTTCATCAGGTGGGGGCCGTGGTGAAGCTCCAAATTCTGGTGATAATGAGTAGGATCGCAGGCGTGAAGTCCGACTGACAGGTATGAGTTGATCATTAGGTGGTGCTGCGCCAAAACCGTCATCACCAGAAGGTTGCTCAGAAGTATCTGCATGTGAATCTGCAGAGTGAGTCTTTGACCATAGATCTGATGCTCGTCCTTCGTCTGGCATTGATACTAAGACCGCATCGCCAGCAGCGGATTGGGCGAGAGTGCGTGAAGTTGTATCTGTAGCATGACTCTCTTGCTGGGAAGGAGAGGCTATTCTCTTCGGATACCTTCTGATCGTGTCTCGTGCCACTCTTCCTTCGGCATGCCACTTGGCCATATGGTCCTTGAGCATTTTCGCTGACGTAAATACAGGATATTGGCAGCCTGGAAACCGACAGACGTGCTTGACGTGGTCTTTCTCATGCTGAGTGAGGCAGTCGATGTTGTTGAAGCCGACGACGGCATGTGGACACGACCAAAGTCGACATGTAAATGCCGATGTCCGAAAAGCTTGCTTAAATTGCTCAAGCTCTTGAAATGTGATGCCTGGATAGTTGGGGCAGTCTAGCAATCCTCGAATCACCGCTTGATACCTCTCCTTCAAGGCAATGAGGTCGCATGCAACCGCGTAATGATTGAAGGGGTCGTTCAAGCCATCCACTTTCGTGCTAAGTTGTTAGTCGTCAATCCTTTCAACCGATTGCTTTGGGAAGGGAAGCGAAGGAGTGTACCATTGACTGACACATCTCTTAATGTGTCTTTGTTTTGCTCCAAGATTAACGCTTTTGCCATCATGTACAGAGGGTAATGCCTTTGTCGTATCAAGGCAAGCCGTGGATCGGGTCTGTCACCATCAGCCTCTTCGAGACTTTGTCTCGCGCCGGTAAATGCTTCGGCCAGACGACAAGATAGCACAAAGATTTCCGACTCGAAGAAGCGACCTCGGTCATGGTCAAGGTCTTTCAAAAGGTAATCAACCCAGAATTGAGTGGCATACATGAGAAAGCCATGAGTTCCACGAAGTATTCTTCCAACCCGCTCGACCTCTGGATATGAGGGCACAAAAATCTCTTGGCAGGATAGGAGACAACGGACAGTAGCTAAGCCATGTTGCCTCTGCGAATGAGTTTCCGTGATTGAGAGTGCGCTATCAGAGCTCTGAAGAAAGCTTTCGCCAGTTAGCCAAACAAAGGCCAGTCAATTCAACGTGTGAACTTACTCTCGCACCGACACATGGAGAAATGCATAAGAAGAATCGTCTTGTTTCTGTATAAGAGGCTCACACCGGTCGAGGATATAGGCCGGGACCAGTTCATTCACCTGTTCATGTCCGGCATCAAAAGCCAAGGCGGATAAGAGCTCTGGGCAGCGGAGTGGCCGTTTGGCAAATGATATCCAGCTTAGGACAGAACTGATCCTTTGCTCAGATCTTTCGTCAAAGTTTGTCATAATCTGCGACAATATCCGCCCGTAGCTGATGACGCAGGTGTCAGGCGAAAGGCCTACAAACAAGATAAACTAAGGATCAGATGCTCACTCACAACTTTCCAAGTTCTCGAGGAAGCTTACTGGCAGCTTCCAAGATCTCCTCGCGGCTGTAAAAGAGGTTCTTGCTTATGAACTCCATGACGAGCTTGGCCCAGAGAAACATGCCTGGTACCATCTGGTCAGCATAGAGTGGCAGACCTGAGGAGTAGGGACGAGCCAGTCAAGTGCCTACCGTCTGCTTTTTCCGTAATTTGTGATGCCAACCTTGTTATATCTTCATCCGTTATGCCCAGCTGAGAAAGATTCGGGCGAATGGCGTTGATCCTCTGCAGGGTGTAATCTTGAATTGCCCGGTTTAGATGGATTCCCTCATCCGCTAATGAGATTTTGCGCTTCCTATTGACGACTTTGGCAACAGCAGGCGTCATTTGAGTGCATAAAAGCACCTTGAGTATAGTTGCTCCAGAAGACGAAGCGGTGGCAACCAGCCTATCGAGAGTCTTCACAACGCTACTTATCGTGCTGTCATCGCATTCATCCAACCCATCAAAAACAATATGAAGCGTCTTCTGCTGAGATGGCGAAGTCCCCAAAGCTTCGACCAAAAGGCGAAGAAGTTGTTCCATAACGGCACAACTTGGACTTTTCTTCTTCAATACAAGCCAGTCGTAGGATAACGCGATAAGTTCTGGATCTTGGCGAATAATCTGTACCACCAAGGACCGCATTATGTCGTTATAGTCTGTTGACTCGGGATAGATATATGTGCAAAAGTGTGCCACTACCAAAGAGTGCTCTGAAGATCGGAGAAATGTCCCGATTTGAGCGGCCAAGACACTTTTGCCGCTGCCGACGCAGCCATGAAGTACGATGAGTTGGGTATCACGGTCAGATCTGGCCCATGCTTGGATCTTCGGTTGCTTGAGTATCCAGCCGCAGGATCCGGGATGCTGGTTTGCTTCAGCAGTAAGATTGTCGAAGACCCTGATCTGGTGAGTCTCATCGACCCTGAGGACACTCAGGATGGCATGAAACTCGGTGCTTGTTTGGTCCTCTTCTTGTTTCTTGAATTTGCTCATTTCTTGCTGTCTCCAGTCTTCCAGTTTCTCCCTCATATCCTTTGCTTCGGATATGTTGGCGGCGATGACAATTTTGTCAACCAGTTTCTCATGTGCTTTGAGGTCGGCGAGGATGTTGTCGAATCGCCGTTGGAAACGACCCCTCGAGGTAGCAAACAGTCGTTGCCAGGCTATATATTCAACAACGAGATTTGTTAGTTTAAGCCAAGCGATGTATGGATGTTGTCCCAGCAGGTCTTACCGTTTCGTCGGACAAAGCTATAGGCCTCCCCATGAAACTTGAGGATGTCGGAGTAATAAACGGCCAGGGCGTTCTGGACTTCCGGGTTGCTTGAGAAAGGCTGTTGCAAAAAGCTGAACCGAGTCAGCGGCTCAGCTAGCTTGCTATAGATTCTGATAATCTCTTCGAATGCTTCGGTGTAATCGGCAGATATCTGAGGACGACGTGTGTAATGGTGGTTAGTAAGCTGCGTCAAGAGACCATACCGCGGTTAGGAGAGATACCTTCAACACAAGCTTTATCGGAGCCCATATCCAGGGCAGGTAGGGCGTTCCATTACACAAAACCTCAATTGTTTGAGAGTAGTGACCCAAGCCGGCGAATAATGGTGCTAACCTTCGCATGTTCCGGAGCGACTGGCTTGCTGCGAGCTGTTGTTCAATCTGGAGAGCAGCTTGTCGAACATCGTTAAGGGTCAGATCCTTTAGCTGCGCTCTATCGGCGACAATGATGATTCGTTCGAGATCCGCGAATGCTTCGCTCATCATTCGGTGCGCCTCTGGAGACGCTCTCCGACTCAACGGCATTCTTTCCTTCTGCCTGCATAGATATATGGGTTGTCCAGAAGTCCTTTAGCAGAGACACAGATGACTGACGGAGAGACATTAAGGTGTAGAACATTATTTAAGCTTAAGTGGATGGAGATGGCCACCAATAAGTCTCGGACTGGTAACAAGCTGTAGAGCCTAAGGCTTCCACTGACTCGTTGGGCTTCGGTGTCAGAGGAAGGCTGTGCGACCCTCCATTGGCTGACAGTCATCCACGTTGCTGTAGGCTTTTCGTTAGGCACATGGGCAGGATAGGAGGCAAGTTCGCCCCCGGTATTTGCCAGAGATCTAGTATCAGCCTTCGACATCAACATAGGCAATATTAGGAGCCCTGGCTGCTCTGGATACAGCTTTATATTAAATGTATCAAGTCACATCAACATCGGCAAGATGGAATATGGCCCAGGAGATCTTCATCGACCCAAGAGACGCCGATCCAGCCCCTCGAATTATCAAAATGGCAATGAACTGAAGCGCAATAGATTTGCGAACGTTGAAATAGTAGACCTCACTATCGATGACGAGGACCCTGCCCAGACGACGGATGGGACATATGTACCAAGATCCCCAGGTTCATCAATGTTCTACAACCTACCAGGCCTCGCCACCTCCATCGATACTGAAGAGCAGATTGTATGCTTCGGTATGGTAAGTAACTGCTCTCTGTCCGGCAGCATCAAACACGGTTGACAGCAGATATCAGATAATCGGTGTACGCGGTGTCTGTCAATTTGTACGATCTTCGCCGCCACAGGAGTTTGCGGTCACTTTGACAGATTCCCAACATTTCGAATCCAGTGACGATGCTACAATCAAAGGCCTGATTGATCCGTACTTTACATTCTTCATCAATGTATTGCTCAGTGAACAAGATCTTGAGCTGGAGATCACCTGCTCATTAGAGGCAGGTAAATCGCCCAAAGCAAAACTCGCAATGCCTCTTTCTACGCCCTGCCACCTGACTGTGACGCTTTATGGTGATATCAGCCTCTTGGAAGATGTAGGGAGCTTTTTTGAGGAGCATAATCTCTACCTTCAAGATCCTGTGGGCTGTTCACGGCGCGTTTTGTACCGGAATCCGCACAAGCTATGCGATGCGTCTGATCTTGCTATATGGACATCGGATTTAGGCAGAGAGCATGCAAAAGCTGCCATTATCGAGAGCACACAGCCGCGTCCCGAGTTGATCGACGTCCTAAACTCTCGAGAGGATTTAGTCGAAGCCAAACAGCCCGGCTCCATCCGATCAACAATGAAAAGGTATTGGAACAGCCCTATGCCCCCCATGTGTCTATAATCTTGCGTTTATATTTGGTCTAAACCATCAATTCTAAACAGTCATCAACTGCAAGCCCTGACATTTATGCTCCAACGAGAGCAGGGATGGGCTTGGGATGGAAGCCGGCCAGACTTGTGGGAATTCTGTTCCCAGAGCACTGGATCTTAGTAAGTACCTCTCAGAGTCACGACATATGATATAGTTATTTGCCTTTTCACTGACTTTGTGAACTATCTGTAGTTTTGTCAATCGAGTCTCGGGCGCAACTCAAACAGAACTGCCACAGCAATTCTACGGCGGGATTATCGCAGACTCCATGGGCCTAGGCAAGACACTGTCCATGATCTCTCTGATAGCCACCGACCTACTGGTGAACAGAAATGATCCGAACTCTCTGATTGGGGCCCATGCCGAGAAGTCGTCTGGCCGGACGTTGATTGTCGTGCCGCCCCCTCGTGAGTCTATAGCCGGCACCCATCTCTTCTTGGTTGTTTCGAAAAGCTAACAATTGCCTCCCTTAAATTAGTTCTTGACTCCTGGGAAGAGCAATTGAAACAGTGAATCTTCCAAATGGATCAGAAAAGTGCAATTCAGTGAAAGCTAACCAATGGCAATAGGCATGTCTTCCCCAGCAGCATCCCATGGCGCAGGCACCACGGAAAGTCTCGTTTAGCAGATGCATCAGATCTTGAAGATTATTTGGTGGTTTTGACGACCTATCAGACAATCTCCTCAGAATGGAGCTACAGCTCAAATCAACAACATTCCTTGTTGTTTAGTACGCGATGGCGACGCATAATTCTGGATGAAGGTTTGCAGCCCACAACTCCGGGATATGTGGAAGATGCTAAGAATGATCAGCTCACTTCATCCGAAATCATGATACTCGTATGGCTCGTGCCGTCTGCTCGTTGGCCTCAGTTTCGCGATGGGCTGTGACCGGCACGCCGATCCAGAATCGACTGGGCGATCTCACAGCACTCCTCAAGTTCCTTCAGGTATATCCCTACGCAGAGGACTACGAATTCAACGCAGACATTTCTCATCTATGGAAGATCGGTAAGGTAGATGAGGCTGTGAGGCGGTTGAAACGGCTTGCGAGCTGCATCCTCTTGCGTCGTCCCAAGACCATCATCCAACTGCCCCCAAGGCATGACTTCAAGCAGTTTGTGGATCTGGCTCCGGCCGAAAGGGAGTTGTACCAGGAATTCAAAATGCACACCATATCCCACATTGAAAAAGCGCTCTCCGTAGACGGCAAGTTTACTCGAGCATACTCGTATACCAACATGCTACAGAGGATCGAAGCAATGCGCATGATCTGCAATCTCGGCAAGCATTATAAGGCACGATACGATCTACAGGCGTACAACGAACAGACATCTCCGAGCTGGGAAGAGGCTGCCCAGAAAATGTTCAACATACGTCGCGGAATCAGCAGCATTCATTGTCGCTTGTGCCTTTGCGTGGCTGATTTTACAGAAATCGCCACTGACGAGACCGGCCTGCCTCCCATGTCTCTGTTCTCGCAGTGCTTGGAATTCGTCTGCTCTACATGTCTACTTACACATTCACTTTCTCAGGCACTGAGATCGTGCTCTCACGAGACCCTATGTCCCACCGCCAAGATATCGACCGATATATTCGACACCGACGATGCACCGTGGTTGGGTATGGGGCAGCCAGGTACTGAATTACCGACGAAGATATCTAAGCTAATGCAAGACCTGCAAAGACAGCCTCATGATATTAAATGGTGCAGTATCTCCGGTTACTTGTTATGTGGCTGGGTATTTGTCTGACAGATATACTTAATAGCGTCGTCTTCTCTTCATGGCGAACTACTCTGGAACTTATTGAGCTTGGCCTGAAACAGGCAGGCATTCCTTGTCTGCGTTTCGACGGCAAGGTGGCACAAAAAGACAGACACGTAGTTGTCGAGCGGTTTCGCAAGGATCCAACGATTAGAGTGCTGCTGCTGACAATCTCGTGTGGCGCTGTTGGGTGAGTCTAATCAATTATAGGACCAAACCGCTGACCTATTGCTCACCATTTCAACAGCCTTACATTAACGGAGGCCTCGAGGGCCTATCTCATGGAACCTCACTGGTAGGTTCCACGTATCTGATTGCTTGTAACACTATGCATGCGTGCTAATGGTTGTCGGTATAGGAATCCAACACTGGAGGACCAAGCGCTAGCTCGTATTCACCGTATCGGACAAACGAAAGAAGTAAACACTGTTCGGTTCATCGTGAAAGACTCGTTTGAGGAGGTATGCATTTTAACGAATAGGTTTTGACAAGTTACTAACATCAACCCCAACGCAGAGAGTTGTAGAACTGCAGCAATCCAAGACTGATCTGGCTGAAGTCATACATCATCAAAGCGAAAATAGCCAGTCGTCTGAGGCTCGACGGCCATTGGAGGTGCGTCGAACGATATCTAGATTCTCCTCATACCCAGCTGACTTTATCTAGTGGCTGAGAGCACTCATTTGAACACACCTCAGAAGACGGCTGGGATTGAGAGCTTGGATACTGGAAAGGAAGCGGTCATTATTTGCTTGCCAAATACCGATCTCTGTAGCGCCATCTCTACTATGTTCAATGTGATGTCTCTTTTGCTTATAGTGCCGCCGGCCATAGAGCTGGTTAGAGCTCAAAGTTGAGATGTAGAATGCCCACATCCTAGACAACCATCACGCCGTCCACGTTTTGCACTGACAGCCAACTGAAACAAGCTCATCCATCACAGCCTCTATTCGTCGTACTTTATGGAAGATGTCGACGGATCCTTCGGATGCGTAGCATCAGAAAGGGGGCTCTCGAGGCACAGCCTCTCCGCAATGTCCGCAAAGAACGCGTATTGCAATCGTGTAGTACTCCGAAAGGAACGTCTTACAAATCGGTCATGTACAGTGCAAGGCGAGTTCCATTTTTATCTTCTACCTAGCTCTCAAGGTGACATGGAGGCAATTATGGCAAGGGTCGCGGTGTATAAGTATGCGTCGTGTTCCGCAGGGTTGGCATATACGCGTACACTCTTTCTCCTGGGTATGCATGTAGAAGAGATCAGCGACATCGACGTGAAGGTCAACTAGTAAGAATATAAAGGACAGTTTGTGATATATGGGGATGAAGCAAAGAGGCAATAATTCACACACGTTGGACTTCTGATGGTCATGTAGAAAAAGGTAAAAGCAAGAATGCCGCTTATTACCAGGTCCCGAAACCCCTATAAAGAGGTAGTATAAAGGTCCAAAACTCCTCATTAAGACCAAAACGCCTCATTGATGCCCAAGTTCCAGTTGATCCTTCTGAAACAGATAGTAGGCTTCAATCCCTCCTTTCCGATCCCACTCCCAAATCCAGTCTGAATCCCAAAGTAAGCCCGCGTCCAACGCCATTGTACCATTACTCATCCATAAAGACCAACAAAAGAGAAGACGAAGTAAAAGACAAACCCTTCGGAAAACAAATCAACTCCTCAAATAAGACCCAGACTTCCAGGCCCAATCCCCAACTCCAAACCAGTACCAGACTCCAAGCCGATACCAACTCCAAACCAACTCCAAAGTCCAGAGCCCAAATTCCCAACTCCAAATCCCCAACTGCAAATCAAAACGCCCAACGCCCGACCCAACCCCCTATATCCCTACCACCCGCCCAATAGGAGTAAGCCACAGCCCCAACCGCTTCCCATACTCTCTCCCACAGCAGATTTAGAGCAGGAAATAAGCCGCAGCAGCAGCCGCGACGGCGCCCACGAGAGGAGCAGCAGTCTTCTTGGCCACGCCCGTAGAGGGAGGCAGAGTGTTGGTGGGAAAGCCCGCAGAGGCGCCGCTGGTACGAGACGCCACGCTCGAGGTCGCGTTGGAGACCCAGGCGGGCCACCACTCTGGGAGGCCGAACAGGACGGGCGACGGGGTGGCGGCATCACGGCGCGAGTGGGCCGCAGCCGGAGTGACGGTGGGAGGACCCGGGGACAGGGCCGGAGGATCGGGAGTGAAGGTCGGCATGGGGTCCGCGGTGTGAGTGGGCGGATCATTGGTGAAGGTCGGCATGGGATCCGCCGTGTGAGTAGGAGGATCGTTAGTGAACGTCGGCATGGGGTCCGCAGTATGCGTACCCGACCAAGTAGGCGGATCATTGGTGAAAGTTGGCATAGGATCCGCCGTGTGAGTAGGGGGGTCATTAGTGAACGTCGGCATAGGGTCCGCCGTGTGAGTAGGGGGATCAGGAGTGAACGTCGGCATAGGATCAGCCGTCTGGCGCTTCTCGGCAGCACGCTTCTTGCGGTCGTCATCGTCCGCCACTTCCTCGAGCTGGTCCAGTATCTCACGGAGCAGGTCCTCGATGCGGTCCTTGGACACTGCCGCGGCAGAGGGAGCAGCCGTATGGGCAGGGCTGGAGATCATGGTGGTCATGGAGCCCGTGACGGAGGTGGTCACGATGGTCTGGACCATGGTAGTCAGGGAGCCCTCGACACCATCGCCGGGGAAGAAGGGGGAAGTGACAGTGACGGCAGGGGGGGCAACGTAGGTTGTCATAGAGCCCTCAACTCCGTCACCGGCCGCGGGGTAGGCAGCGACCAGGGAGGAGCCGGCGGCAACGAGGCCGAAGACGAACATGTGGTGGTCCAACATGATGAACGATTGTTTGTGATGTGATGTGGAATGGGTTGTGAGTGTGATGTGTGGTCTGTGGTCTGTGATCTGTAGTGTGTGAGTGTGTAGTCTGTGGTAGAAGGTAGCAGAAAGTGACTGAAATCAAGGAGAAGACGTGAGATGGTATGCGAGGAAAGGCCCCCCTTTATATCATTGAGATGCTATGAAATCCGTTCCATCGCTAACAGCAAAGATCCTCATATCTCTCCCTAAGTCGGAATAAACCTTCAGCCTCGTCTCTTAGCCGGTCAAGCCAGGACCAAGACCGTATAACGCTTAGAGTCAGAGTCAGCCACTGCTCGCCTCGAACTCTCGAACCCACAAGCACCTCGTCAACGGCGACGGGCCGATACCCAGAGAGCTCAGTATAAAAGAGGGCAAGTCTCCAAATACCAATTGCTGTCGTTGATAACTAACGCTTGATGAACACTAAACCTTATTTTTGGCTGGAATCATAGAACGAAAATGCTCGCTATGGTGTGTAGGTTAAACCCATTTGCCCCGCTACTCCTGACCTCCCGACCCTGATAACGTTTTTTTTTTCTTTTGTCGTCGTTGATTGCCTTTTCCGTTTTTTGTCTCTCGTATGTGTGTGTGCTGTACGTCCTGTTGCCTAAGCTCGTATTTATGTGAACCCCATAACGCCGTGTGCAGCCCGAAGGAACCATTACTCCTCTTCCGCGTCCTCGGGAATGTCTGAAAAGAAACTGAAGCGCATTCGGTGGCTCTGCCAAAGAGGCGTTAGCGATCATCACAAGACCTTGCCGAGTGAGGCTTTGACTTTAAACTTACGAAAGGTAGCTTAGGGATAACGACGGCCAGCGTAGCCAGGAAGTTGATGACAAAGTATGTCGAGTCGTAGTGGGTGTAGTGCGTGCTGATGAGGAATAGCACGATGGGGACGCTGAGGAGGAACTTCTTGGTGGGCGTGTACTGGGCTCCGTTGTCGATCTGCTCCCACATGTTGAGGTTGTCGAAGGCGCCGCCGTTGAAGTCAAAGGGGATGCCGCGGACGTAGTGGAACATGATGTAGGAGCCGATCATGTACGTCATGTTGGTGAGCGTCCACGAGGTCTCCTGGGTACTACCCGGGATAACGTCGTAGAGGATCTTGAGGCAGGCGATGATGACGATGTGGATTGTCCAGGCCCCTATTTGTCGCCATGGCGGCGGCGGCGGTCAGCGGTCAAGGCACCAAGGCACGAGAGAGTTTTGGCGGCAGCGCAGCGGCTTACCCTTTGCGTTTGTCCAATTGGCATTCATGTTCGGAATCACAGCCTGGTCGCTCATCTGCTCGAGCGTCTCGGGGGGCTCGTGGTAGACCTGGAGGATGCTGCTAGACCTCCTCCGGCGGCCACCAGCGCTGCGGTCGGTCATGTCGAGGTATCGGCTGCCGGCGGATTTCGTCGCGGCTGCGTCGTAGGTTTGTGAGGATGCGGGAAGGCAGGTCGACGGCATTGTCGGTCTCTGACGATGTGGTTTTTTTTTTTTTGTTTGCCCAGCAGCCGCAGATGCTCAACCAAGTCACTCGCAAGGCAACGCGCAAGTCGCTTGTGCAGGTTCAGAGGCCGACCGCTCAATCGGGGCGCCGGAGGGTACTAGCGGCAGTACTTGGCGGCGGGCGGCGTTAAACGAGGCGATGAAGGTACTGGGGATGTACCTCGAGCTACGGCGAACCTGCGGCGCCTCTAAGGTACCTCTACCTTAGTAGCACCGTAGCAGATGGTGGTACGTGCTCAAGCTCTCAAGGCTCCAGCTGTGCTGTACTGGAGTTACAGTGTCTGAGCGCCCTGTATCAAATCAAGATGGAGTGCAAGAAAAAATTCAAGATTTGACGACGCCGGCGGGTCGAAGCGAGGCGAACAAGCTTTATGCAACTAAGCGAGCGAGTCTGGCACAGCCACCGAGGCTCAGGAACCAGCTTTCGAACGTCTCGTTTGGGACGGGAGGTACAAGCAGTAGATGGTTATCTGGCTTCATCAGCATCGGAGTGGGGGGTTTGGCTCGGAGGGATGCGAATACGAACATAAGCTATCTTTGCTGCTTTCTGTAACGCAGCTCTTGCAGAGGCGTTGCGGTTGCGCGTTTCACCGAGCTGGGCAGAGGTAGTTTCGAGGCTTGGGCAGTTGTGCTCTTCCGACTGGGTTCACGGGTCTCTTTGCGGTTCTTCAGCAGCTGAGTTGGGATTGGTACAGGCGCCCCAGTCAAGTCTCAAGCACGAATCGGACGAGGTGGTGGCAGGTAAGGTGATGGTGGTATGGAGTTGTCTCACGCAATCGGTCAGAGATGGCGCATTACGCGCATTATATGCCTGACGTGCTGCTTTTGCGGTCACGGAGAGGGGGCTTGAAGCAATTGCTGGATACGACTCGCTACTCCGTCTCAAACCCTAGATTCTTTCGCTTAGAGAGCGTCCTGAGAACTTGGAGATGCTCAGCGGCGGTGCTCCGTACTACTACTGCCTACCTTGCCTGGTAGCACCACTCCGTGCTTGTGTACAATCAGGCAGGTTGACGACGGCTTTCTTGCTGGGGTCGGTCTGTGGAAGCTGTGGAGACACCCTGGAAAGGGGTGCCGCGGTACCTGCAGGAACAGGAGACATCATCCGGCAGAAGATTGATGGCCGTTGGTGCTAATGCGGGCTAATTAACGAAGCAGCACAGCTAACATCTCCTACGAGTAATATGAGGACAGCTCGACTGGCTCTGCGGAAGTTACAGAATCTGAAGCCAAGGTCGAAAATCTCTCAGCTACTCAGTGCAACATCCGGACGTCGATGCAAGTGCTTTCACGAGCGCGTTGAGGCTGGTTCGTGATACGTATGGAGGGGCACATTGCTCAAGCTCACATCCCTGATGGCATCCCCTACCCATCTAATCACGTCCATGTGCCATCTAGCCGTTATCTACATATCCTGGTGATCATTGAGGAGACCAGTGCGTTCTATTGCCTGGTAGTGTAGCTTCTTTATTAGGACCGCCGGCGTTGTGGCTGTATGCGTCCCACCTACCCCGTAATATCTACATCTAAATCACCACCCCAAGGGGCCGCAGGGAGACGAGCCGCATCCTGGCCTTCTAGAAGGCTGCGGTTCCGGTGTTCATCATTTCGGTGACAGGGGTCGCCGTTATTATTGGTAGCGAATGGCCCACGGACATATTGATCATTTGTGCTACGTGGGTATACGCAGTGATAACACCTGGGCTCTCCGTCGACCGAGCAATATCTGCAAAGTCCTGGATGAACTGCAAATACTCACGCACCTTCTGCTTCGTTTGTGGATCCAAGATACCTGACAAGTCTTTTCCGAGACATGTTAACGAAGCAAGACTACCGCAGCGCTGCTTAAGCTGCAATCATCACATGCCTTCCAACAAAGTGATTACTGGAAGGTAATTGATTGCCGAGCGCCACGTGCGTATCCCTCATCTATTTTAAGGAGCTCATTTACGTATGTTTCTTAGCGAGCAGCTCATGGCACGAGGCCCAGCCCGCCAGTCCTTTCAAGGGACTGGAATCCGGGCCTGCTCGCCTATCTCATCTGTAAAGAGATGGCAGCGGAATTTGGAACTAAATTGATCTCATGAGTTTATGCTGAAAGTAGAGGTTCCAGGCAGGTACCTGTGAGGCCATCTGTCTTCGCCCGACACTCAAACTGTCCACGAGAAGCATTCACGACAGCTTCTGGCCCCGAAAAGGCGCACTAGGCACTCGAGGACGGAACTTTATTTTGACGGCCGTTGTGGTGTGTAGGGCATCAAGTACTTGTTACAAGTATGTGTGTAATTGCAGAGAATGAGGCAATGAAGTCGACGGATGCAAGTTCCTTGTTCGCCTGCAGACTCCATCGGGCTAAACCTCGGAAGCGAACAAGAACCCTGCGCTCAGCCTCGATTTTGATTCGCCAACAGAGTTTGTACTTGCCTTTTGCTTGTGTGGTGTTATAGCACGCCTCGCTTGATCTTCACAACTTCACTCGCCTTTGGAGATATCGCGGATTCCCTTCTTCATCATTACAGCAGAGTCACCATTATCGGGCTAGTCCGCAGTGAAGGTTACTTTACCACTCAGTATCGACTACGAAGGGATGACATAGGGAAAATCCAGGCTGCTCGCCGATCTCGCGCCACTCGCGCCTGGCCTTGTCGAAAGAAGATGCCTAGGCGACCCAGCCCAGCCTTTCCCCTTCACGAACAAAAGCTTTTTCTGAGAGTTTACACAATCCCCTTTAGCGTACGGATGAAAAACGCCTCTAGCGGTTTCGATCTTAAGGTTTGCTGAGCCGCTGGATGACGCGGCTGGTCCAACATCATGACCAGACATCAACCAAAGCCGGTCGATTTCATCAGCCTGCTCAGTAGCGAGGATGAAGCCCCCTTGACCAGAAAGAGAAAGTATTCGGAGGAAGAAGCGGCCAGTGTTGGTGGAAAGACGGCTACTAAACGACGAGTCAAGCGTGCTCGGGCAAGCTCTGCCTCTGGGGATAGCGTCACCAGGGCAAAATCATTCAAGGAGGGAAAACTCGAGGAGGATGAGGGCTCTGATACTGGAGTGCCTGGTTTTGCTCGGCATGGCGAGAAGAAGAAGGTCGAAAAGTTTACGGCAAACACTGTCTTCATGCCCAAGTCGCCCCCGATCTTCACCATTCACCCGATATCTCTTCATCTCCCTGTGTTTGCCCCCCAGAGGGAGGGGACATGGCTCACCAGATTCACCGAGTGGGCTCAGCTACTTTGCACTGCCAACACCAACTCGCCCGGTGCTGCCGAGATCACGCCTGCGTTGATCCGCGCTGCCTACAAGCAATACATTGACATCCACAGCAGGCTCAAGTCCAATAAGAAGCGGGCTGCCCGGCTGGTGGCCCAACAATTCAAGGATTCGTCTCTGCTTGACATAATAAGGGCCTTCCGGCCACTCCAGAACGAGGCTGCGAAGCTCACAGATGCCGCGGAAGAAGCTTTGGAAGAAGCTTTGGAGGAAACTTTGGCCGACTCCACGACACGATTTGACGCTCCTCAGCCGCCGGCGCTGCCACCTCAAACCCAAATCCTCTCTGCTGCTGCGGCCCCTCCCAGCCTACTTACAGAGCAGTCCGGCGCGCTCTATATAATAGACGTGAGTCCCCAGCTTCCGCAGACCGCAACCACGCACGAAACAATACCAGTACCACAGCCAGAATTGCTGCCGGCATTATCAAGGAAGCCTCTTCGACAAACTCAACATTCCTCTCTCAAAATCACCATGTCGTCCCAATCTGCTATCCCCTCCGGCGCCGAAGCCCTCGAGCAGCAGCGCCGGTATTTCCCTTCAGCCACGGACCCGTCCAACATGTGCCTGCTCTGTGGACAAGAGGGCCATATCGCCGGTAAATGCACACGGTCGTGCCGATTCTGCGGAGAAAAAGGCCACTGGGACTACAACTGCCCATCGTGGTCTGTTAGATGCGCCGACTGCTGGAGGAGCGGCCACACGCAGGAAAATTGCCGGTACCCCAACGAACCTTTCTGGTTGGTATGCGGCTACTGCAGAGCACCCGAAGACCACGAGAGATGGCAGTGCATGACGCTTTTCAGGTCGTTCCGTCCCGGCCCAGACACTATCAAGAAGGTCAATGCACTACCCGTGTCATGCGCCGCATGTGGGAGTGAGAAGCATTTTCACGGGGACTGTCGTAAAGACGGAGCGCCCAACTTGCCTTACCATTCCAAGTTCCATCTGGACAATATGCGTCAGTACCTGGACCCGACGAGCAGCTCCGGTCCCATCATCGGCACGGATGCATGCCGACCGGCTACCAAGGTAGGGGGGTTCAGGATCTCCAGCCGAGCCTTGGCCTCGCCTGTCGACAACGTGCAATACTACTCGGGCAGCGATGATTCCGATGATGGGCTGTGTGTGGTAGCCGCACCCATCCCCGTGCGGCGCTACAACTGCGAGCCACCACCGCCGTGCCTTCAGTCACCATCTTCAGCCAACCACCAGTCACCACCATCGCGCGATACATCGCCGTCCCTTGGCTCATTGTCATCGCGTGTTCACTCACCATATCGGCAGTCATGGGTAAAACCATATCGCCCACCGACACCACCTCCGCCTCCTGCACCTTCGCGTCGCGGCGGCGGCAGAAGAAGTGGTCGAGGCGGTCGAGGTGGCCGGGGTGGTGGTCAAGCTACTCAGAATGTCCAGAGCAATCAAGAAGAAGATGTGCAAGGTGGCCAACATGTACAGAGTGGTCAAGGCGAGCAAAACGGTCAAGGCGGTCGGCGCGGCCGAGGCAAATGGGGTAAGCGAGGTGACCAAACTGGCCAAGTTGGACAGGGACATCAAGGAGGTCCAGCTGTACACAATGTGCAAGGTGATCAAGGAGGCCAAAATGGCCCAGGTGAACAACAGAACGGCCATGAAAAAGGAGGTAACAGGCAGCGGCGACGACGTGGCCAAAACAGTCAAGATGGACACCAAGGAGGCCTAAACGGACAAGTTGCACAAGATGGTCAAGCTGATCAGGCTGGTCAAGCAGGTCAAGCTGCTGCAGGTGAACAAAATAATCAAGGGAAACGAAACAAAAGACGAGGACGGCGTGGCCAGAATGATCAGAATGGACAATGCGAAAACCCAGGAGAACAGTTGCCCCAAGGTTGGGACGATCCTCCATCTGGCTCAGTTGAGCAAACCAGTCAAGGGAGCAATGGTCAAGTTGGCTCAGGTGAGCAAGCCAGTCCAGGAAAACGGGGAAAAAGACGGGGACGAGGACGCCGAGGACGCCCATCTCCCCAGATTGAGTCGGCTTGGTGATCCCTGGCAGAGATCTTCCCGACACGAGATACGAGAATTTTCAGCAGATGGAGCAGTGTTAGTCTTTGCAAACTGGCATTTTTCCTACGATGCTCTTTGGCTTTCTCAACAAGGTAGCAAAATTCTATGACCTTGTTGTATATCTTTTCGAAAGGTGTTGATAAAACTTCCCCCCTTGCTTTCAGTGTTAAGCAGAATATCTCTACTTGTTGACCTTCTCAAGCCTTTGCTATCGGTCCCTGACTACATAGCAATGGGGCAAGGCGATCATCTGCACAACCAGGTGCACATGGAGGCCAAGCGGGTCGAGACTGGCTCAGATGGCAAGGGCCGGGAGGAGGCAATGGCCGTCGCAGGGGCAAACACGGAGGAGCAGAGGCGGCCAAATCAGAGGAGATGGAGCTCTGCCACCATACGAGCATGGAGAACCCTGCGGGACGACGATTGATTCGAGGAAAATATTCACATGACGGATTTGCCAATGGAAAGGCAAGACGACGCTTTGATACCCCTTCTACTTCTGGACCGGCAATATAAACGCACGCATTCGACGAGAAACATGACGAGACCCCTGGCTCGGTTGCACCGGCCGACTCTGCAACCCGGATGCTTAACCGAGGGAGAAAAGATCCCCAGATACTAGATGATAAATTGGGACGGGAAACTACGCGGGATAGATTTGGAAAAGGGAGGGAGGGGGATGGAGTTTACTTGCTTGCTTCACTCTTGATATCTTCCGCGGGGTGCATAACATGCAGAGAGAGCACAGTAGCTTGGGGTCCTCTTCGCTTGGAGGCGCTGCTCGTCCGTGCTTGATGTCTCCTGCGTCTTGCCACGCCGGCGGTGATTCGCAAAGGGTCTTGGTCGATGCAGTGTTTTCCCAGTCATACATGATACGCGGTCGATGCTACTGGTGCCTTGCGCTTTCTATCTGCATCTCGAGTCGTACGAGGCGGTAGCAGCAAGTTTTGTGTAGCAGTCAATCCTTGAATGCAGAATCGAGAATAGCCTCCTTTTCGGCAAATGCTCCGACGAAAAAGTGGCCTGTTGACTACCTTAGCTCATGGAAGCAGAGCCCCGAGCCACTCAAAGCGCGCCGTGACGGGAGCACATCTTTGTGATTTGCTCAAGGTTGAAGAGGGCACAGAAAGGAAAAGGGGACGCTAATAGGCCGATAAAGGTGCATCTTTGTTTCGACGCGCCACGAGGAGTAGCTGCGGGTTGAAGGGTCGGGAGGAGGAAGCTCTGCATGTTGGTGGGGTTGGGAGAAATGGCCTTTGACTGGGATTGAAGTTCTGATTGTTTGACTTGCCGGTGGCGAAGGGGGGATGAGAAAATCTTGGGGACGGATGCAAAGATTGTTTGGCTGGGAGGATGGGGACGATGAAGATGGTTGGGCATGAGTTGCGGCCCGAGGGGGGAGGCCGTCTGAGTGCCCGAGTTTGCCTGACTTGTTGCAGGGGGGTGATGATGAGAATGGATCGTCTACGGATAGTAATACCACAAATGATGGGTTATCAAAGGGGGAATACCGTGATGATACTGGTCACCGTTGATGAGCCGTATGTATGTATGTATGTATGTATGCTCTTTGCGACGATCCGTCCGTGGTGTTGAGGCAAAAACGCAGCGACAACGTTGGACAAGAGCCAACGTGCGTCCCGCGCGAATCGCATCGCGCTTAAGCTTCGCCATCAAGCTTCAACCTTTCGCGTGTAAGTCGCATCGCGTTTGCCACACCCTCCCCGAACCCCGAACCAACCCCCCTTGCTTCGCCTACAGTCTTTTCCGTCGTCTCATCGCGTCAGGACACAAAAGCTACCGTCGATACACATCACCGTCTTTTCTCTCTGCAAGAAACAACCATGAAACAGGAAGAAAAAGAAAAAAAGGTTGAAATAAAAAAGATCCCAACCTCGACCCAAGACTAATCATCCAACACCCCCTTGTCCCACGCTTATGCACCTCCGTCCCCCACAGCTCGGCATCATCCACTGGCTCTGAAATCCCACGGACGGTGGCCCTATGAAACAATGAAACAAAAGTTAAGGGTGGGCACATGCAGCTCGTTTCGTTTCCGCTTCGTCTTCGTCCATCCACTGGGTTGGTACAAGAGGCTCGAGGTCAAATGTGACTTCGCTTGGCGCGGTGCCTTTGTGTGACAACGCGGACAGACACGGTGTAACACAAGGGCGGAGACAGCTGGCGTCCTCGTTTTCTTTTGCTCTTTCGTCGCGAATGTGGATGAATTTTCTGCTGCGCTTCTTCTGCGTGAGTCACTCGACAGGCTCTTGGCCAGTTGTTTTGGTGTAAGACCAGCATGCAAGTATGTTAAACGATTGGAGCGCGGAGGGCCGGGAGAGATGGGCGCTAAACAGGGGGGGAGGGAGGGAGTACGAGTAAGAGGGTTTTTTTCAAATGTTCTTCCATCTTTTCCCTAAGGACGGTGAAGATTTGGTCGTTTTGAGCGTTGTGCTCTGAGTTGTTGATGCCCTGGGCACGAAAACGATGCGGGAAGGCAAGGATGATAGAGATGCCCGATTGGGTTGATTTCTGCGGTGTGGGAGTAGGTAGGGTTTGCGCAAGGGGATAGATAGGTTATATACAGGCGAGGACGGAGACGAACTTTTCGTCCACACTCCCTCTGGGTTTCTTCTTTTCTTATTTTTTTTCTTCAGGTAATTCCTATTGTATGAATGAATAACGGCCGTTTGGGAAACAAAAATTGTATTCTATTTTGTTCTGGTGCTTCTGGTTAACGACTGGACTCGTTGAGTCAACTTCACTTATACGACACAGCTTCTATCAGACTCATATATATATAAGGTATACCTATATATATATCGAGTCAACAAACCATCTACTGCAACAGAACATCAAACAATAGCAGCCAGACTTCTTCTTCTGCCTTTGAACATTGAAACAAAACCCCCTCAACTTGAAACAGACAAGAAACTGCTATTAGAGGGCTTCTATCTTCTCCCCCCACGACATGACACGGCTATGGCGTCCACACAACAGCTCTTCATCGCCATGCTGAGGAGCGACTACATCAAGGACGTCCTCTTCCCGCACCTGGCCACCGCCGACGTCTGCGCCATCCGCGCGACCTCGTCCGCCTGCTGCAACCTCGTCACCAAGCGCCTCTTCACCCGCGTCCGCGTCACCTTCACCGCGGCCACCTTCACCCGGCCGGCGCGCATCGCCGCCCTCGGCCGCATCGGCCACCACATCGAGCACCTCACCTTCCACTTTGCCCACTCCGAGGCCACCTTCCTACCGCCATTGATCCATCCGCTGACGGGCGACGAGATTGCCTTCCTGTACAAGCCGCACACGAGCATGGGCTCGGCCCTGACGCGGCCCAAGTACGCCAACACGGAGCTGGGCGACATCCTGACGCAGCAGTACCCGCCGCTCTTCCACGCGGCCACAAACGTCCCCAGCTTCATCTACGCCCTGGGCCATATCCCAAACATGCGGCACCTGACCATCCGCTGCCCCGGCCAGGATCCGCGCGAGCGGTACCGCAGGGACATTGTGGACTACGCCCTCATCAGCCTGCGCATCGCCGTGGAGCGCGCGCCCATGACCAAGCTCAACAAGCTGTCCCTCTCGTCCCTGCACCCGTCTGCGTTCAACTACCTCCGGTACATCAACGGCATAGGCAGCGTGCCGTCTGCGAGCCGCAGGTGGCACCAGATCACCAAGCTGCACATCTCCGTCGAGGCGTGGGACTTTTACGGCCCCTGCCCGGGGCTGGACCACCTCAAGGTCCTCGACGACTACATCCGCAACTTCGCCCCGGGGCTGGAGAAGCTCACGTTCGCCTGGGTCGGCGCCAAAGGGCCGTGTCCCATAGCCCTCTCTGCCGACCCCCTCTTCGCGCCGCCTCGCAGCGCCAAGAAGCTCTTCCACGAGGTCACCTCCCCCATGTCGCCGCTGCCCACGCGGCCTCCGCGCTGCCCCATCCACTTCCCCAAGCTGCGCTACCTGCAGATCCGTAATGCCACCATGAATTCCACCCAGCTGCGGGGCCTGATTGCCGCTCACCAGGGCACCGTCAAGCAGTTTGGCTTCGAGAGCGTCGTCCTCGCGAACAATGGCAGCTGGGAGGAGGCTCTCGCGCCTGTAGACGGGGACGACAACTGGTCCCGGAGCAGCATCAAGGCGCCCTCGGCGATTTCTGTCGTAACCGGCGCGAGTGAAGAAGCCTTGCCCAGTCCTAGTGCGGCTGTTGAGGCTGCTGGTAGGGACCTGATGGATCTCGACCTGGACGGCCTCATACTCAGCGACGAGGAAAGAGATGTAATAGTCCAGGGGCTGTTGATGAGCGACATGCCCGAGCCGAAAGATTCTGAACTGAGCTTCTCCACAAAGATCACGCGGAAGCGTGTCCGTCGACGCCATAGAAAGCACTCCAAGACGGAGGCTGGAGAGCGAGCTCCCGAGACCCCGTCTCCTCTATCGCCCCCTCCGTCCTCTCACAGCAACAAGTCGCTCAAGATGCGCTTCAGATTCTCTTCTGGTGCCAGCCAGATTGCCTACTCTGCCATCCCCGAGCCCTTGTCCATCATAACGTCTCCCATCATGACGTCCGAGCCCCAGCCCGTCCTCCTCCAGCCAACTGTCTACTCCCCCTCCTCCCACCGCCAGGCCGGTCCCGACGAGGGCATCTCCACCGTGCAACGCAACCTCGAGCAGGAAAAAGCGCATCGGCTATTTGCTGAGGACGCAGACGCCAGGGCGAGCGCCTTGCATAAGGCCAAGGAGGCCGTGCTGGCAAAGCTCAGCAAGGAGTTCTACAACAGCAACAAAAAGGACAGAGGTACGGATGCGACGTCTGTGTGCCGGTATATGGGCGCCAGAGAGGCGAGTGGATGCAGCGGAGAGATGGTGATGGAAGACTGGAGGGGGTTGGACAGTAGGACGGCGTTGGTGCCCTTAATGTTTAGTCGGACTTAGGGGGGGAGGAGGAGGAGGAGGAGGTAATGGGTGATGCTATCGGATGTGACGACTTATGACTTTCTTCTTCTTATGACTCTGTTGTTAGGGCTTTCCTTTCTTACGACTTCTTACGACTTCTTACGGCTTTTCTTCTTTATGACGATACGACGATATGATCTCAGGATTATGAATCTTTATGTTGTTTGATTTTCTGTTCCGTCGCTCATTCATATAACGAGTCTCCTTATTGTACTTTCTATATGTATTGTATGGATATTCGGATGGAGGATATTATTTTACACTCTCTCATATAGTATTCTCTTTGTTTCAAAGTCTCCATTAATAACCACTCTACTCACGAGAATCAACTGCTCTCACTCGCAATCTTCTCCAACGCCTTGAGATAATCTCCCACCTCCTTCGCCCCTATCAGCGTGATATCCCTCTTCCTCCCTTCAACCACCACCACCGGCACGGCATCAACGTCGCGACTGACCTCCCTCAGCCTCCTCTTCACCTCCGCCAGTCCCAGATCCTTGTCCTCCACCACCCTTCTCGCTTCTTCGCCCGGGATCCCTGCTTCCACACATGCTCCCACCAAGGTCTCGTCCGTGGAGGGATGCTCCCCCTTCTCAAAGTACCGTACGTACAGCGCATCGAGCAGCTTGCTCGCCGTTTCAGCACCCTTTGCGTCCTGGAAATACTGCACTACGCGATGCGCGTGGAGAGTGTTCCCCTTGCGGCCGTCGAAGCGGAGGGCGATGCCTAATGGCTCGGCGACGCTGGCCATGTGCTCCTGGAAGGCGCGCTGGGCGGCGTCATCTCCAAAGTGCTTGTTCTCGAGATACCACTTGTGCCGGTCTGCTTCGGGGGGGAAGTCTGGGTTGAGCTGGTAGGGGGCGAAGTGGAGGGTGTATGAGATGGAGGAGGACTGGGGAGATGAGGAGCGGAAGTTTGAGAGGGCTTGCTCTAGTCTGTGGAATGTGATTATCAGACAAGTCCTTGTAGGGTCCGAGACCTTGAAGTTTGAAGTGCCAAATACTAGTTAGTTTCAGCTCTTGGTGGGATATATGGACCTTTTCTTGGTCACGTATGTCCTGTGAGATGTTAACTTGGGGTAGTGAGATTCTGCGTGGGTGGACGCGTACCATGGACAGACTGTGTCCAGCGTGAAAGTAACTTGCGATTCATACATGTTGTTGAACGACTATCGATCACTTGGAAACTGCATTTAGCGAATCAGAAATGAGACGGTGCTATCACTCTGGCATATGAAGGGTCTCGAGATGGACGTCACAGTTCAATGTTTAATGAAGAGATTGCGGGGAAGTGGGATGTCCATGGCCGACGCATTACTAAAGACCCCATCTCTGGCGCACCTGGAATCATTTCTGGACATTATCCCATCATTACGAATCCATTGCTGAAATTGACACATCAAAGAACAAAGAAATGCTGAGGGTATCTTCTCCACAAGATAGCCAATGCTAGTCAAACGTCACCTTGGTTCCCGTATGCTCCACCAGTCCGCCCGTCAAACGAGCAACGGCGATGTCCGGCGCGGCCCTTGCCGGCGCAGCCTCCGACTTGCCTCCCTTGCCGTTGTTGTCCCCATCGTCCGCCCTGCTTCTCCTGGGGGGCCTTGATGTGTCGTCGGTCTTCTTGGAGGCGTCCTTGCCGAAGCGCTTCTTGTACCGCACCTGGTCGTCCTCGGCGAGCTCCAGCTTGAGCTCCCGGCCCAGCATGCGGTTGACCCACCACTTCCTCGTCTTGAACTGCTTCTGCGCCGCCTTGTCCTTGTTGTCCTTGTTGTCCTTGTTGTCTTCCTTCTCGGCCTCGTCGTCGCTCTTGTCGTCCCGGAAGTCGTCTTCCGTCTCCACCGCCTCCTTGATCTTGACAAAGCCCTTGACCGCCCATGCGGCAGCCTCCGGCTCCTTGAACTTGATCCAGCCGTAGCCCTTGCACTTGCCCGAGTCCTCAAACGTCGCCAGCTTGGCCCACTCAATCTCTCCGCACTTTTCAAAGTTGCGCATCAGATCCTCCTCGGTCGTCTTGAAGCTGAGGTTGCCCACAAACACCTTGCGGCTCGCGTTCGTCTCCTGGCGCTGCTCCGTCTTGTTCTTGGATGGGTCGCCCGCGTCCGCCTTGCCGGCCGCGTCCTCGGCCTCCTTCTCCTTGGCCGGACGGCCCTCGAACGACTTGGCGTCCTTGATGAGCAGCTTGCGCCCGCTCAGGTCCGTCTCCGAGAGCGCAATGGCGGCCACCTTGCCGCCAATGTCGGTGAAGTCGACGTACGCGAAGCCCTTGTTCGCCGGCTTCTCGTCCTTGCGCCGGGTCGCGTCCTTGACCGTGGGCAGCTTGATTCTCGTAATTGCCTCCGGGGTGATGACGCCTCCGGAATTGTCCACCAGCCAGGCGCGCAGCTCCGCGGCGGTCAGCCTGAACGGCAGGTTGCCGATCCAGACGCCGTGCTCGGACCGTGGTGCCTTCTCCTTGCCCTCCTTTTCTCCTCCTCCGTCCTTGTCCTCCTTCTCATCGTCGCTCGAGGGCTTGGCCGGCAGAGGCTTGCCCTTCTTGAGGGCTCGTCGTGCTCGCTTGGACGGCGGTTCGGGTGCGTTTACGTCGACCTCGATCTCCTCGACGACGGCTTTGCGCTTGGATGAGGACGCCGATTTGTCGGCTTGCTCCAATTGAGGAGATTCCAATTCTGTGGCTGCCATTGGAATTTTATAGGCTGTTTGTTTTGGGAGATGGGATTATGGGCTTCGTACGGGGCATCTACTTTCTGAGGCCGTTCATCAGAAATTTTTGGGGGAATTCGCAAATCGATAAGGCGATAACTACCCGTGGCTAAAAAGTGGAGTTGCTAAGATTTGGGTTAAGCGGCCCAACTTGAAGCAACCAACCATGAAGCCATTTCTTTGTTTTTTCTGTTCTAAAAACAACACCCATCAAAGACCATGGAGTAGTACGAGTACTATCCTGCAGAGCATGTTGCATCTTGCACGCAACCGCTTTGTCTACGCATTCGGCCCAAGTTCCAACGGCTCCAACGAGAAAACTCCGAAACATCAATAGGAACGAAAGGATTCCTGCCGGTCACACACTCTGCGCCGTGTTACATGTAGGCCAGCTGCCCAGCCAGGCCTGTGAATGGCTGACATGACCAAGTTGGCGCGAAGCCACGTCTATTTTGCCCGGCATTAGCGTTGCAACGGCAAGGAAAGGAAGAACGGGAAAATTGTTGCTTCTCATAGATATGACGGGTAACGAGGACAGTGGGCAGCTAATAAACGAAGTGAGAGCGTGGGCAGAGGGGAAAAGTGTGACGGCTAGCGATGCGGCGCATGAGCTTCCTAATGCAGGCTGAGTCGTGTGCGCTCTCTTCTGGCGACTGCGACGTGGGCTACAGATGGATGAATGGATGGATGGTTGAGGAGGTCCTGATGAGTTTTCTTTGGCCGGAGATGCATTGCTGGACTGCCTCATGGCAGAGGGTATCAAGGTAAGGTTGTATAATAGCAGCCTATACGAGCCATTACTACTCTGACACTGAGGAGGTATGTAGTACAAGCAATACCCCGGGCAAATCAGTCCACATGGCATCAGGTCCGTCATGGTGGAATGGCGTGGACGATCGTGGACGTGGACATGACAATTCATCTCGGGTTGGATCGTGCGGGCTGAGGCCCACTGCCAGGTCAGTTATTAGTGGTCTGGCCCATTGCGATGGCAATGCATTCGATGTGCGTATGACCACGACTACGACCACGACCATGATTGTGGCCATGACCGGGGGCTTTTCCGGGGAGAATTCTTGAAAAACATGTTTTTGCTGCGGGATGCAAGGAGAGGACTGAAGACGGCTCGTAGTCGAGGGCTGCTGCACGTCGGCCGAGACCAGACGCAGAGGCGACATGACTCTTGCTCCCTTTCGATCGCCATCGGCAGGATGATGCACTCTACGGATAGCATTACCGATCACGACCGTGTCCCTCGATTCCAACCGTCATCTCGCCCGTACAAGTACAAAAGGATAATATCAAATCAGATGCTACCGGTCTGCTACAGGCCACTCGTCTCACCCGTCCAGACGCAAGGCTCACGATGCGGTCTTCCGAGGCAATCAGACCAGATCGGAGACCCGCAACGCCTCTCCCAGCATCCCCTCCTCCTTGCCTTGCTGTTGTCGTGTGGGACGGAGCAAATGAAACATTTCCCTTGCACAGCTAAGGCACGCTGCAGGGACGAGGCATGATAGCGCCGGAGAAAATAGCTGTTAGGAACATTGATGCCAAAGGGAAGGGAAATGAACAAGATCCTTGGACGAAAGAGACGGTCATTTGGGAGACGACGAGCCGTTCCTAGATCTAGCTGAATCGACCGATCTAGACTTTCATGGCTCTAGCTCTTGTGTATTGGGTTTACTGATCCTCTTCGTTCACTGCCAAGGTACCTTTTCCTTGCTTTGCCACCATCTTGGTCTATCCATCCATGCTCTCACATGCAGCTTTTGCAGTCCTGGCTTCAAGGTTGGTTCAGCTGGTAGCACACCTTGAAAGTGCTCCGTGCAGGTACAGGTACATTCTCAGTAGCGTTGCAGCCCAACAGCTGTGGGGGATTGGCCCGGACCTTCCACGTAGCGCGAGTACCGGTACCGCACCTCGTTAGTGCGCCTTGGGGCCACTGACGCACCTGTCGGATTCGGGTGCCTCCAGCCCACGTTGCAGCGGGCAGCAGCGCTGCCCTCCAGCGCATCAACAGCCTGTGGCCTCTGCCGGACGCATGCAAACGACCCCCCTCGGGGCACTTCAAGCTGTCGGCCACTGCGGCGGGTTCAGCGGCTAACGAGCCGTTGCTGGCAGGTACCGGTACTTGGACAGTATTGATGCCCTCCCTGGCAGCGCAACTCGACTCACGCTCTCCAGGCAAACATTGCAAGGCGAGGCGAGTGCATGGCAAGGCCGGCTCCAGTCTCCGCATCTGATCCTTTTAACCACGGATTACCTTTACCCACTTCGCTCGCCTCTTTTTTTTTTTCCTCTCCTCCCTCTTAACAACTCACTCGAGCCCGTTCTGCCCTTGCACTGGCCGGGCACCCATGCAGTGCCCCGTTGACCGCTCTCTGGCGCTTTATTGCGCTGCGGCCGCCGTTTTTCTCGGCTCTTTCTCCTCTTCAACTTCCGTCGCCTCGCCCCTCTCGTCCGGACGCTCTTGAAGACGCCCGTTCGAGCTTCAACAAAACTTTCTTTTTGCGGACGACGACGCCAGCCCGCTAACGACAACGACGACGACGACCACTACGACGCCGCCGACGCCGCCGCCATCTTCTCCAGGATTCGCCCATCTGCTAGCGCCGCCAGCTTCAGCATCCGCATCGGGGTCGCTGCGATTCACCACCAGCTTCGCCCATCACGATGAATGTGCTGCTCTCGCCGCAGTTACCAGTCTTCCCTCACCAGCACGAAAGCCCACACCTCTCTCAGCGAAACCGTAAGTCGCATCATCTCTCCGTCAACGACCTCGGTATCCAGTTCGAGTTCTCGAGGTTATTGGCGCATCTCCCTCTCTTGTCTGTTGCACACATGCACACGTCATGTTCCCAAGCTCACAGCACCCTGCAGTTTCTCCTCTTCACAACATGAGCAACCGAAAACGAAAGGCCGATGACGATGGCGACGAAACCATGTCGCCCATGAGCTCTCCCGCCGTATCCTCTCGACCTCTCATTCGTCCGTCGAAAAAGTTTCGCTCAAACGACTTGATCGGAAGACCGCTCTCCTTGCCACGCCTTCTGGAAACACTCAACACAGATCAACTGCGCTCTGTCCTGGAACGCATTTGCGAGCGACATCCCGACATTGGCCAGGAGGTGGTCTCGGGGGCGCCCCGGCCCAGCGTGGCCTCGGCCCTGGACGTGCTACAGTCGTATCAGGACAAGCTCAACGCCGCCGCCCCGTATGGCAACAGCAGCGCCGAATACACTTACAACCGCGTCAAGGCCCCCTTGGTGGCCCTCATCGATGCGCTCTCCGATTTCACCCCTCAGTTCCTCCCCCCGATCGAAACTCAGCCGACAAAATCCCTCGACTTCCTTGACGGTGCCACAAAATTCATCCACAATCTTCCCAACTGGCAACCACAGGCTTACCGCCACCACAAGGACAATGCGTACGAAGACATTTCCAAGGCGTGGGCTTTGGTTATCAACGAGGCTGCAAAGCGGGGTGGCGGTTTCAACTTGCACACGGATGGTTGGGACCATAAGCTGGCCAGGCACAACGAGCAGTCCGGCGGACGGCTAGGAACCGCCATCACAGCCATGTCGAATAGCGTCGGTTGGATGGGATCAGGCGAGAATGCCAATTCATCAGAGCAAAATCAAAATTCTATCCTGAACCAGATCGTCTCTGGCTCATTTGGATCGCCCGTTCGGGTCGGGCCGTGGTAATGGCTGCTCTGTAAAGCATACATACGACGAGAGCAGCCGGCCCGTCCTCTTTCCACCGCCAGCACGACAGACATCAGAAACGACATCGGAGCACTTACGATGCTCATTGGGTTTCTCTTACGACATCATCTTTCTCTTGCATCAACGGGCTTTTATAGACTTCGGCACTCATTTCCTTCCTTTACGCACAACTGGATGGCAGGCGTTCACTTTTTTTCCCTTTGTTTGTCCTTTTTGATATCCTTTCCCTACCTTACCTCATCAAACTCAAGTGGGCAACAGGGGCTTTATAGTGTGGCATATTCTGTGTATTTTGTACCTGGTACTGGCGTATCGTCATTTTGTAAATATGAAAACAATCCATAGACTTGCACCTCTAATATTGACGACAGGCGTGGATTCTATATCTATATGGTTCAGCATGTACTTCGCCGTATTCGTGGCTTGAACTCTGGTTCTTCCCTAACTCTGACCTACCTAAACTCTCCATGTCTCCAAGCCACCTTTACGAGGCTGACGACGTTATGAAGCCTCCCGCTTCCAGGTGCATACTAGGTAGCTACTTACGTTGTCGTGGTCAGCCGGGCAAGGTCCATGCTTGCAGGGCGTGAGTTGAGACGATTTCCAGTTTGGACCTTGAGAGATCTGGGGTTACGCAGGAGGTACCTCGGTACCTTCGCGCTTCGACGCGGGTCACGTGCTCTCCTGTTGTCAATCTAAACAAGACGCGCCTGTTTGGGCTGAGGCACGCAGCTGGACGCGACACCGTGAATCAAGGCTCTGGCACGACATTGCAAAGCAGCCAGCAAGAAATACTCGCACCACCAGTCCCGACAGCTACTGGGTACTGGCCGGACGCCCTGTGCCGTCATTGTCTCTCTTGTCTTTTTGTTCTTCGTCGATATAGATGACAGGGTGAAAACGGTTGCCCTCCATGCCTGCGTATGCCCCCCTCTCCCAACGACCATGCTTGTGAAGTCGACTGTGATTAACAGCTCTCTGCAGTCCGGGCGATCAACACCAGGCCTGGGCCAACCCCTTTGAAGAGACAAAGCCGCGCATCGCAGAGTGGACAGCCAAAGAAATCGCCACCATCGCCTCACGGCTCGACAAGCAGCTCGGGCCCGAGTACATTTCCTCGCGCGCCGGCCCGGGCGGTTCACGGGTGCACTATCTCACGGCCGAAAAGGTCATCGGCTTGGCCAACGAGGTCTTTGGCTTCAACGGCTGGTCGTCGTCGATCCAAAACATCCAGGTGGACTTTGCCGACGAAAACCAGGCGTCGGGGCGTGTGAGCATCGGCTTGTCTGTCATTGTCCGCGTCACGCTGCGCGACGGGACGTACCATGAGGACGTCGGGTACGGGTCGATTGAGAATGCAAAGGGAAAGGCCATGGCCTTTGAGAAGGCGAAGAAGGAGGGCACGACAGATGCGCTGAAGAGGACGCTGCGGAACTTTGGCAACGTGCTGGGGAACTGCATCTACGACCAGGACTACGTCAAGCAGGTCACCAAGATTAAGACGCAGACGAACAAGAAGTTTGATCCGGATAATCTTCACCGACACTCGGATTTCGTCAAGAGGGATCCACCGAACGGCAACATGAGCATTGCCGGCAACAACACAGCTGCAGCGAATGTACCTACCACAACTGCTGCTGGTGGTCCTACATCTGCAGCGGGGGGCTTCAAGCTGGAACCAATGGACTCATTTGATGACTTCTTAGGGGGTATGCTGTCCTCGGATGGGTTTGAGGAGATCGAGGCTGAATATCTATAGAACTCGATGAGGCCGATTTTTGCGTTCCGGGAGATGGCCATCCCGATGAGATCATGGTCCCCAACGGTGCCAATCCCGCTCCCGAAAAGCCTTCTGCCAACGAATCTCGGCCCGGCCAGCCAGCAAAGCCCATATCTGGGAACAACATGAACCGACCGCCGCAGCCGCAGCCGCATACACCCAGACAGGGCCCACCGCCGCGGCCGCAGAATGCGCAGCAGGGCAAGGACTCTACGAACCAAGCGATGGCGCCTCCTCCTCAGGCACCTCCGGGAGAGCCTGTGGCTTTCTTCTCGGCGAAAGCTGCCCTGGCTGATGCCAATCCGTCTGCTGGCACCCAGAACCAGCCGAAACAGCTCTTCAATCCCAAGGCTGAAAGCCCTTCGATTCGCAAGACGCCCGGAATCGACCACTCTTCATCCAAACCGGTTGCGAGGAACGGCCAGCATGTCCCTCCCGCTAACAGCCAAGCGACATCTGCGCCAAGCGGCAACGCCGGTGGCTTTACGCCGCTACGGCAGGGAATCAGCAGTTCCCAAGCCAGGGGCACCGCGCTGAATCCGTCGCTGGACCAAGCTCGCCGAATAGGAGCCCCGGGCGTCGGCAGCCCGCTTGCGAATCGAGGACAATATAAGCCCCCGACAATGAAACGAACATTGCCGACTGAGAGCAACGCGGCCAGTGGACCAAGGGCTCCCCTTGTGGACATTGCGACAAATGCAAGCAATGGTGGTGGCGGGGATGAGCTGGATGCAAAGAGGCAAAAAGTAGCATGATGATTACGACGAGAGCACTGTTCGGGCATCAAACAGCAAGGAGTTTTTGGAGTTTGGGTTGGCGGACGATGGCAGTCAGAAACTGATTGCGGTCCTCTGGGGGGGCTTAGACAGATGCCCAATTTCTTTCGCCGCATATTTCAATTCACTAATGAGACGGAGTCAGGAGCAACTCGAGTGCTGCTTTATGCTTACATCTCAATGAATAACCCTTCATGACTGGGCATTCCCTCAGCGGTGCCTCTCAGATTTATGAATTACAGTATGCCCACGCCCAACCTGGCCTTCTTCGGAGGCAGCATGCACGTAATACGTCCTTTTGTAACACTTCGCCATACCGATCCCTTACAGTCATGCGTCCCTTGCTTCGCGCAGAAACTCCCACTCTGTGAAGCTTGCACTCTGTAATGTGCGTATGCGGGAAAGTGCAGCACTCCGTCTTGTTGGAATGGAAGGACATGGATGTGAATGGGAAGTGCTTGAAAGGGTAAAGGTACGCCAAGTTGATCGTCCATGCCTTTAGATTCGAGAGCGATTAGCGACGCTGGTGTTTGGACAAGATAGGCTGAGTGAAGTTTGAAGGAGAGGAGCTAAGGGATCTGAAGTAGGGGGGAAAGAGAGATATACCCTCTGGCTTCAGACTGTTGCATGACTGCATCAAGCAACATTTGACGACTAGCAAGATCGTGACAAGAACAAGACAGTAAAGGAGAAGGTTATAAGCGTATTGGCAGCTGAATATGGACATTTGCATCGTTGTAAAAGACGGTTGAAATGAAGCTCGCTTTTGTAGGAGCATGCTGCCACAGCAATGAATGTCGCCGGCGCTACTACGAGGCGTCATGCGGATAAACCTCACGGCAGCACCCTTGAACGCATATGTCCAATACATTTTCCCAGGTCAAATTCGTATGAAGATAATGTGCTTCCCCCCTGATGACAATACATTTCAAAGGATATTCATTCCATCTTCTTCTTGTGATGGCTCAAAACATCTCAATCTTTCACCGACTGGGGCAAGTCATATAGTATGTTAGCGCTACTGCAGGCATCAACAATCATTGGCAGAGTGCCAGAGTGGTTAATGGGTATGACTAGAAATCATATGGCTTCGGCCTCACAGGTTCGAATCCTGTCTCTGTCGGACTTTCATTTTTTGCCTTTTTCACAACTGATATAAAGCTGCGCTTTTCCTTCTGTCTATATCTTTTTTTTTCTTCTTTTTTTTTTCTCTATTTCTTTTGGCCCCTTGTGATCTTGTGGGAATGGGATCAAGTTCAGTTAAAGGCTCTTCGAAGATTTTTATCGACGGCCTGGTCTTTTCATGTTCATCGCCTCAGGATCGACACACCTCTTAAGAATGCTCTCTCCAAGTCTATTCACATAAACCCTCACTGTGTATAAGCCATCAACAAGCGATAAAGGGTGAGGTTGCGTGCTTCACATCAATTCACAAGTTGAGTCAGGTTTCGGCAGTGCTGTTGCTGAGATCCACAGAAAGAAGCATGCGAGTACTGAGGTGGTAGTACAGTTGTGAATTATACACTGGCCATCTTCAAGAGGCCCTTTTATCTCACTAGACCAATCCCATCTATCATACAGTTTAAGAAAAGTCTTCCCTTCTTATGCCTTGGTCGAGGATGCAGAAGCTAACCTTGTGATGCCCTGTTGAGCTTGCTTCACCCCCTCAGGAAACTCCATCTTGTTGCTCATCGCGATGCATTTCTCGTACTTCTTCCTCGCCAGCTCAGTCTTTCCCAGCATGGCTGCAACGTCTCCCCAGTTGCAAAGCGCAACGGCACAGGCTTCGTCACACTCTGGTGTGCGGTCGTCACCCTTGACGTCCTGGGCATGAAGATAGGCGTTCTGCGCCCAGTTGAGGCCAGCCTCAAGACAGTCTTTACGCGTCGTGGGCATGGAGGCGTCGAAGAGCTCTTTCAATCCCTCGGCCGGCTCCGTTGTGCCCGCCGCGGCGTAGATGGGCTGCTGAGCAAATGCCGCCGCCAAGTTGTTCATGATGACTGCGCGATGGCACGGGCTTTCGCACAGCCGAAGGGCCTGGAAGAATAGGGGAATGGCAAGCTGGAACTGGGACCGCCGCTCGTAGTCCCGGCCCAGCGATTCCATCGATCCTCCAAGCTCCTCTGGGCTGAGCCACTTTTCCTCCCCCGGTTTGGGACCATCGGTTCTCCGTCTCCGGAACTCCTTCAAGGAGGTCTCGACTGCCCAAACGAGATGAGAGTGCGACTTGTCCGGGTTGAGCACATGCTCATCCGCGTATAGTTCGCCAAGCTTGACGCTCGTTGAAATAGCCTTGAGAAGCAATCGTTCACGTTTGCGCCACAGAGTCTCACTGGGCTCTGGGGGAGCAGCAGTTGAGTCATCGGCCTCTCCAGTTTTGCTCTCAGGAGCTGCTGGGCTCGCTTTCTCCTCGGAAGCTGCTTGCCCAGTTTTGCTCTCTGAAGCCGCCTCAGCCGCAGCGACCCGTTGTTGCGCATCGCCGACGTATCTCCCCTGGTCGTCCACCTTGCCGTCCTTGACGGATTGCTCCATGACATCGATCCACTTCCTGCAGTCCCCGAGGACAGACTCGAGCACGTCAATGGCAGCTTTGTGGCTGTTGATTTTCTCGAGCCAGAACGCCACCTGGATCCTGATGCCCAGCACTTCGTCGGAGAAGGGGTCTAGGCCGATCTCAGCACATTGCTCCATTGCCTTCTTGTAGAATCTCAGCGCGAGTTCGGGGTCTGGTTTGTAGTTTGTGTAGTAGATGGCGCGGCGCAGAGTGTTTGCGACTGGCTCGGGGTATCTGCTGAACTGCGAGTTGTAGAACGTGTTGATGTATGCTCGGATGGCGACCGCCGAGAAGACAAAGGTGAATACCAGACTGGGCAATGTTAGCCTATGAAGTCGTTTCAAATTGGTTACGGAATGCATACAGAAGGATATTCAGCGTCGTCGCGCCCGGATTCTCGCGATACGCCTGCCGGATGCCTCGAGGACTCAGCGCAACGACGAGGTTCCGCAGACTGACTCCGAGCGCGCGCCCGGCAAACTGGCGAAACGTAATCTGGGGCTTCTTTTCGGGGGCTGAATCTTTGTCCTGAGGTGATTGCGAGGTCGATTGATGCCGCCTCTGCTCGGGTCGCAGAGCCACGACGGCTCGCAAGTGGACAGACGCAGCCGGGGATCTGACCTGGACGGAGAGCACGCCGGTGGTGGCATGGCGGATGCAGTTGCCTCTGGCGGGCCTCAGCGAGGCAATTGCTGATATGGACATGTTGGAGTCGTCTCAGCTGACGCTGTCAGTAGCTGCGCATGCCCCAGGTTGTGGCGACTGTTGAGTGTTTCTGCTGAGTTGAAGTGAAGCTCGAAGCTCGAAGCTGGAGAGATTTCAATCTTTGCCTCAACTGCACCTTAGCCTTAGCATGACGGCATCCTGGTGGCGTGTGGTCCGTGCGCCGCCGCCTCTGAATTCGCGCCTCAGTTGCCGAGGTGGGGGGAAATGGCAGGAACGCCGCATCTCGGTTGAAGCCGATGTTCAACTGAAGCCGCGGTCAGCCTTTCAACTCTTCACCTCTTCTTCAACGCTACATACCACACTCTTCTCCCGCCGAAACGCAAGACACTCAGCGAAAATGGCCGGGAAATTCGAGCCCAAAGTGCCTGTCCAGCTAGACCCTCCCAAGGACGATCCCATCTCTCTCGAAGCTCTTGCCGCAGCTAACGGTACGTTGCTTGAGCTCCTCGGTTCATCAGCCCCCGGATTCTGTAACGGTGGCCGAACCATGACAGTAGCTCCGATATGATCACTCTGTGCCGTGAAGCTATGACCAGAAGCTTCATCTTCTCGAATTTAAGCTCTTGACTGCAATCGATGGCACCTTGATGGGCACCCAACACTCGCATCACATGCTTTGGTTCTTGGCTGACTCTGTCCCTCATAGGTGTCGATGGAGCAAAGACCTACGTTGCAATCAAGGTATGTCTTTCCTGATTGATCAGCTTGCAGCCACAGCTAACAGCATCTTCAAGGGCAAAGTGTACGATGTGACTGGCAACAAGGCCTACCAGCCTGGTGGCTCATACCACGGTACGTATCCCGTTCATTTCCGGGTTTAGCATCCATCCCCTCATAACCTCTGTTGATGAGGCTCTGCATAACTTTTCAGCAAAGTGACTAACAAAACGACTCAGTCTTTGCGGGCAAGGATGCCTCCAGAGCACTGGGCAAGACATCCACCAAGCCCGAGGACGTCTCCCCAGACTGGTCTGACCTCACTGATAAGGAGAAGGGCACCCTCGAGGACTGGGTCACGTTCTTCTCTAAGCGATACAACGTCGTGGGAGTCGTTGAGGGTGCCACAAATCTCTGATTGCATCAAGACAGGTCTCTGAACATGGAGTCGGGGCGTGGTTACTTGGTCCAATGCACTTTATCTACTAAGCTTAATATGCGACACTTTAGCGTGCGCTGTCATTATGGCGAAATATTTCTTCACCAGTCTTTCACCGTTCATGTCCTACGGCAGGACAAGTGTTGAGTTCTTCTCCAGTGAAAAGGGTGCTGTTTAGCCGGCAGATGCCAATGACAAATTCTCGACATCCCCGGAAGCTATGGAAAGCATCATTGTGATAAGACTACGCTACATCGACAAAATCCATACCATGCGTCGAACTTCACACCACAGCCTCTCTTCGCTTCGATACCTTAGTATTGCAGTGACTTTACATCATGGGCACCAAGGAGGGCGTGAACATCGTGGGGTCAATCCTTGATCTCTCCCTATACCTCTATGTATACTTCGTTCACGCCTATGTCATTCCATGCACCGCTCATAGGTGACTATCAACACCAGACATGCACACACCTGCTGATATATCATAAGCCGTATGAACATTAGTGATCGTTCCAAGCTCGAAGCTCGGAGACTCCATATCACACCCTCCTGATATCTATACGCCTGACAAAGTACTTGTATGTACCAGCCAGCATCATACCCACCGAGGCGCAAGGATAAGTCAAATCCGGTAAAACATGCATATACTTGCATTTCGGGCTCCCCTACAACAGCTTTGTATTGCTACAAGCCGGCCAGGGAGGGTAAGATTGCACCTGCAAGCGACGGGAGTGAAGTTGTCCGAACGAACGTTACACCCCCGGTGTGACTCGCGGGGAGATTCGTCCCAACGTCAGAGCCCTTGTTGGCTGTTCGACTGGCCCGGAGGGGAGAAGTGTGAATGGTCACATCGTATACAAGACTGTCATGAGTAGTATGTCGTCCTCTTTAGCTGAACAAGCCAGGCAACAAGCATTCGTTCGCATCTCGTCATCCCATGTACTCGGCGCAACCGATCAAACACCCCCTCCCTTTCCCTCCATCTCCATGTCCACCTGAACAACCCTGCCCGTGAATAGTTTCTTTTTGCCTTGCAGGGCCGCCATCAGCCGCAAACCGTTGGCATCCCATTCATCCGTACTTGCTTATGTACACTCCCATGAAAACTCTTCACGACTCCCAACTGCCGTCCCAAGTTCTAGTCATCTCGTCTTCTCCCCTCCCCCTTTATCCGTGTGAGTCGACTGTATCCCGAGTGTAAATCACACAGTGCTCTTTCACTGAACGCTCCGGTGTGATACGCCTACGGGAAAGCCCTTGAGGAGACAGTCATCGCACGGAACCGCCTGTCGCCACGAGCTGCGGAGGACTTTGACTCCTAGACAGCCGTGGTTGGGGTCGTTGCGCGCGAAGTGGCAGTAGGACTTGAGCCGTACTTGGGAGTGATTGCAGGTGAATAGAAACTCTTCCCAGTCGCACATTATAGGCAGAGATCGGACTTGGGTAAGCTGGAGAGATTATATCCGGTACTCCGTTAGCAATGCTACAGCACCTTGGAGCTGGGTGAATTCGAGCTTACCAGGTTTGATTTGATGAGAGATTGCTACGTGATATTTTTTTGCAGTGAGTGTCGAGATCGTGAGAAGAAGATAAAAACCATTCAAGATAGGAGAGGAATCAGGGTTTTCGAAAGCCTTTTATGTGCAAACCTCAACTTGCAAAGGTTATTAATTTCCTCTTTAATTAAGTCACCGAACGTCCTTCACGACAGCTACCTTTCTGATTCCCTACATACAGACAAACAATCCCAAAGCATACGTGCGTGAAGCCAAGGCAAGGAGATATGTAGGTGCCATAATATTCTTTAAGCAGCGTACATGCTCGAAGGGCCAAAAGAGGGATGTTGTAGCATCATACCGGCCAACCCCGGAGGCCATCTTGAGGGGGAAATGATAGATCACCTAAATGAGCTCCATCGTGTACTACACGAGCGTTGTCGAATCTAGATTCTGTCGACAGTTTGTCACTGAGCTATCTCCGAAAGGAGAGTTGAATGTTGCACAGAGCGTTGGTTGAGAGATTTTGCTTTGCCAGGTTGGATGAGGAGAAGATCATGATCTGGGATCTTGAGGCTGTGCTTACATGTGAAAATGTGCACACCGGGAAAGCATGAATTGCATTCAGCTCCCAACCTTTACTACTTCCCTATATCCAGAGATGGTTAGCGAGCTGAAAACACCAGATGCATGCACAACCAACAACTCTCTTCAGCACGCGTGCTGTCGAGCGTTGGAACAGCGGTCCATGTCAAGGTAAGCGAGCAAATAGAAGAAGAAAAAAGAAGTCGTAAGAAATGAACAGAAGCAACACGTCCGTCTTCCCAATCATTCCATCTGTCAGCTTTTGTGCTCCGTAACATGTTTGTTTTCCCTCCTCTCGTACATCCATCAATCTCCGCAAAAGCTTCCTACTGGGCCGGATGTATCACAACCAACGCACCCGTGAACCCATTTCCACGATCTTCAACCCAGTTCTCTCCCTCCATTCCGTTTGCCAGCTTCGCAAATCATGGTGTTCAGCAAAACCAACAAAACGTCAAAGTGGAAACGGGTGGGCAATGCAAAGCTGCGCGGGACAGGGGGGGAAGACACCCGTTGGTGGGCGCTTACGGTGGCACCCGAGGACCATCGGACAGGCATCGAGATTTCGTGTCAACGGCAAGGGGGGCCATGGCCTTTTCTCTGCCCTTGAACTTACGTGGATTGTCTCTGATCGTCCCGCTGGGCGCTTGGGCTGGATTGTGACTGGGAGCGGTTCGGGTTCCGGGTACCCGGTTTCGCTTAAGGAGAGACAAGTGGGCGTGCTCCATTATGCAGTCTCGTCACCTTTGTGTTTGTGATGGAAAGCCGATACGCCTAGATGATTTGAGCCGACGAGTTCTGTGATAGGATTTCCTACTTTGTACTCTATACCCATGCAAAGAACATGATAGGGAGAGAATCCCGGTTTGGTGATAACCCCTTGTAAGTGCCCTGCAAGTATGTCCGTGAAGACCCAGACAGTGAATTTGACACGGACCCCGGAAGGTTTCTATCTCTATATCCTTCTTTACAGTAATTTGTTCCACAACGACAGTCCAATCCAGAAAGCAGGCGAAGCTGAAAAGAAGCGAGACAAGCAACAATCAGGATTCCTTGCATTTTCCAGCCAGGTTCCAGCTCCGTGCAGCCGGCTTGCTTCCGCAGCCAACCGGGATCCTGGAAGGATTCCCCCCGTCTGCAAAGTGAAGCGCCTTACTGCCACAAACATCCCTTGGTTTCTGTATATTCCCTCTTTGTCCATGCTGGGCTCCTCGTCGAACTGTAGGTGATTCACGTAACTGAAAGAATGGCCTTGCCAAAAGTTTTATCTACGTTAGTCGACTATGCTTCTATTTGGATGTAGAGCTTTAAGGGGAATGAAAACACAGCCTCTTCTGTCTCTGACATTGACGTTATTTCGAGTAGCCTTACCTTATGGATCCGATACTCTGCGAGTTCCTTCGTTACATTCAACAATCAATACCCTGGACTGTTCAAATACACTCTGAGGGCTGACTCAAGATCCTTCCTCTACATGCCATAACTTTTGATTGTATTATCGACGCTGAAGGAGACGTCTAAAATCACAAGAGCGAGCGTGTAGTTTGGAGGGATATGTTGACAGATTGCATAAAGCCTTGTGAGGAAATTCTATCTACCCATAAACAATATGAACTTGTTTGGATATTTGGTCTGGGTGTTTACGCGATAGGAGCTAGACGGCTCAATGAAGATAATATGAGCTTTCTAGACGGATAATTCTACTGAGAGCTTAACTATTTCCCTTGACTAGATACGCTGTTGATATGTAACAGATAGAATAAAATAGGCAGAGTACTCGACCAACAGCACGGGATCTCGAGGAGAATCATCGTTTCAAGTATCTTAATAGCAAGACATAATCTGACGTGAAATTGCAATGAAGTGAAAGTCACAAATAATCTCTAATGTACGCTCAGTACATGGTTCATTCAACTCTTCTACGGCTCACTTGATTCATATTGATCCTATCTATTATAATTGTACCTGATAGTTCCTTACTTAATAGAGCACCTGTGATGCGTAAGCGAGATATGAGTTGAGTCAGATGGGTGCTTGCTTAACTTAAGAGTCGACTTGTGAGATGCTATGCCACTTGAGAGCAACTACTCCGCCAGTACCTCATCTGGCGTGGAAATCCAAGTGTCCTCAATTGCTTATAATTTATTTGCTTATAATCGGATGGTAGTTGAGGCATTCAAGATGCCAAACCGCCCAACTTATAATACGGTCCGATCACTTGATAGCAATGGCCTTGCTGCACAGATCCATGTCCAACTGCTTCATGCAATGTCTCTGTACCTACTGATATCAGGTAGGCAGGTATGCAAAGGTAGGTAGTTATGATCCTCTCATATCCATGCAGGAATTCAGTTGACTGATATCACTTACACAAAGACGGCGCAGACCGCTTTACTCGAATACCCCTTCTCTTTCAACGAGAAGCTGTAGCCTCGGCAGTTGGCTTCCAATTGGCAAATCTTCGTTTCTCCTACGAATTCGGCACCGCTGCTTACAAACAAGCTGTAGTACTACAGCTTATACCAACAAGATTATACAGCATATTGCTATCCATCAGTGAGCCTGCTATGGAGTACTGTCTGGTTCGATCTGCTCGACTGCGGCTCCTCGGGCCTGATTTCCCAAGACATGTCACACCGACATTAGCATCTACATCACAGACATCACAGAATCATCACATCAATCTACCACTTCGCTAAAAGTTATCTCGCAAATTTCAGGGGCAAAAAGGCAACTGTTTGCCTTTTAAAGAAAACCGGGGGGCGCGAGTCTCGGCCTTTGTGACTACAGGTGAGAACTGAGGCCACGAATCTTATGCAACCGCAGCCTCATCAAATAGCCAACGTGGACATGCATCAAGCGATGCAAGACCGAAGAACAAGCCGTTGGCGATAATCATTGGGCCGGCACGTAGCTGGCATTGCCCGGGCTATGTGATCTGGGCCGTTGTTTTCCAGGGGCTGTGCTCGCAGCGATAATCTGCGCGGCATGCACGTTCGCGGTCGAAATGCGGCTTCGGCGAAATGCTCGCAGCTGCCAGAGATGCAAGGGGAGGAAGAAACGCTGGTATATGGGAAATGTCAGGCGGAATGTCGCGGGCATCTAATCATGGCTGCTGCCCAAGAAGCAGTGGTACGAATATGATCGGCAGCAAACTCGAGCTTGTTGGATTTGGATTTGGATTTGGGGGCTGTTTCGGAGATGATGCAGGTCGGCAGGACGAAAAGTTGTTGGGCTTCGGCCTTTAGGTCGCGGTCAGGCCCGGGCTCGTGACATTTGCCTTGGACGCCTTTTGGACGCCTTGGACGCCTTGCGAGGGCCGCCCTGCCCTGGACCGGCAAGAGCTGGCCTGGACGTGGTTGCCTTTGTTGCCTTTTTCCCCTAGTCGCGGCTGCCTTGCCGTGCACTTGCCGTTGGCAGTCGCGCACAAGCTGCAATCGGCGCCCTGATCGGTGGGCAGCGGCGCCCTGATTGGCTGGATTGGGCGAGTCAACACCGCACTTCCAGTCCCTTGCGCCTGCGTCTTTACCGAACGAGCTGGGCAGGAAGCAGCGACTCGGCGGTACGAAGTACTTGGCACACAACCTGAATGAAGGTCATGCAGTGCGGCTGGTTCGAGGCAAAAAGTGAGGCGTCCAAGTGAAAGTGCCATCTTCAGCATCGTCGTCGGTCATCATGCACAGCTGCGGCCCCTGGATCTGAGGCCCAGCAAATCGCGGACGTCCTGGTGGAATCAGCTCACGATACGGAGCACCGACTGAGAGAAGACGGGAGACACCCGGCACGACCGACGGCAGCCGGACAGCCAACAACCAGCCACGACCACCTGATCTGATTGATCGTTTGTCGCAGAAGAGCGACTCCGAGACTTTGAAGGGACATGGGCTTCGGATCGCTTGCGCATCTACCGCTGCTGATACAGTAAACACTACTGCCAGCTATTATTAGGCCGTTGCCTCGCCGCCGCTGCGGTTGCCTCGTTCTCGGACGCCTTGCTCGGGCGCGCAATCGATCCTCAGCAACAAGCTCAGGCGGTGATGCTTGGCTCGCCAGGACGCCTTTCCGCTCGTCGACGCTGCCCAGCCCGGAGGTGTGTGTGCCTCGACAATTGTTGTGGCCCTCGTCCTTGCTCCTTGCTGTTACTCGGTGTTACGTTTGACTCCAATCGTTGAGTCTATGAGCAACTGCAGACCGACCTCTCGATGATCCTCGCCTCCCATCGCACGCTGTCGCACTGTTGGTCCTAGCCCCGCCGTGCTCTTGTCTCGACGGATATCGACTCGATTCGCTCGGCAACCCAGCGCAGGACCCGTGGGAGACTCCTATGCGTGCTCCTTGCTGAAAGTCCCGGATTATAACTCGTCTCTGTCCCCTCGAATACTCGCTCTGGCATATTGAGGCAAGCTGTGCGCGACCACACCCACTACTCTCCAGCTGGCGGCTCTGTTGCCTTAGCTACTAGCCCAGTATGAGTCGTTTGCCCCGGGATGCTCGTTTGTACGGCTCGGATCCGAGGGATAGCCAGCAGATCCCAGAGCCGTACAATCTCTATCAGTTCTACTCTGCATCAGATGGTCCTTGGATCCCCAACGGCGTCATCCAGCCAACAGCAACGCTAAATCTATCATCTCATCCGCCTACTTATAACACCGGAGCGAGGAGCTTTCAGGGCTATAGGAGCACTGGCTTGCCATCTGAATGCGGCACCGCTGCAGAAGATTCTGGTTATGGAGGGACACGCTCGACATACAGCCTCGTTGAGAGTGCTGCGTCCATCGCAGAGAATGACAGGGGCACGGAAACTGGGTATCTGGGGAGACAATCCGCAGAACAGCTTTTCAACGGCTTGAACATCAGCCCCGCGATTCCGACATATCCGCCGCCGATACCATATTCTCAAAATCATCATGTAGAATATCGTTGCGACCAGTGTGACGCCGCCGTCAAGACAAGATCGGAACTCAAGTATGTCTCCTGTCACCGGAAAGAAACGGCTACTTTGTCCCGTTCTGATCGCTATCGGCTGCTAATATATGCCCAGGAAGCATCGTCATAGGCATAACAGACCATACAAGTGCAACTACGAATCTTGTCCCAAAGCCACACAGGGTTTCAGCACACTCAATGACCTGGCAAGACACAAGAGAACAGTGCACCGCGAAATTGACCACAACGTTCCCGTCTACATCTGTCGTCACGACCCTTGCACCCGTAAGAAGGAGAAGCCGTGGCCAAGAGCAGATAACTTCCGGAGTCATCTGGCACGTTCTCATAACATACACCTCAAAGCAGACCACGATCTCAGGGAGTACCGCCAGCAGTATGTGTCATTAGCTCTGTCCGTGTTGTGTTTTCGGATGTGGTTGTATGCTAAGACTGTTTTACGCAGATTCAGTGGAGCAAAGCCCCATGAGCCCCGGCACGATAGAAACTCAGTTCCCAAAGTCAATTCCGGACGTCGATCAACGCAGCTGCAAGTTGCGCCTCCTGTTCATCCCCACCCTGATGTAGCTGCAATCAGAACAGAAGCAACAGAAGCCCCTGAGCTCCGAGGTGTTGGATCATCAATAGAAGATATTGACCCTGGGCCTCGACCGGCGCAGCTGCAAGACTCTCCCGACTTGCGGGATGATCAAAGTCCAGCTCCTCCCTCAGATCAGGTACTCAATGAAATCCCGAACCAGAGCAGCTCGTCCTGTCCACCATGCGGGGAGAAGGTGGAGCAGTCAATTGCTTTCGAGGACCTGGAGCTGTCTCCAGTATCGGGATCCGGACCTCTCGCTAGCAATCAGATAGTCGAGGTGGTACCAATGGGTCAAGCTTCCCTTGAAACTTCCGAAACCGCCTTGCCACGTGATGGGACAACGCCAGAAGCATTGGACCAAGACGAAATCGATTGTTCTGGAGAAGAGGAAGAACCACAAAACCACCAAGAATCATCGCTACCGAGAATCGAGTCTTCCGATGTGTCTCTCCAGCCCAAGCCCAGTGCTTCTGAAAATGGCATCTTCGAGGCCCAGCAAACAATAGTTGCGTCAGATGACGCTCCTGGATCATCTGACGATGCGCCTGCCGATACTGTCACCTTCAACTCGCGCAACCCTTCGGAGTTGTTCACATTTCTCAAACAAGTTCCGATGGACGTGGCCCTGAAGAATGGAGCGTCAGACGTCCTTTCATTCCTGAGAAACATTCCAAAAGATCTGCTGGAGAAGGCATTGAATCCTGAGGATCAAGGAGCAACAGCAAGCACTCTCGCAGGTGATGAAGGGGCTTCGCACAAAGGGACAGCAACGTGCACGGAACCAGGTTGTGGGAAAGTATTCTACCGGCAATGCGAACTCAGGTATTATCTCCCAACCCCCTAATCTCCACTCCACTCCTTTATTCGTCAACTTCCCACTAGACACCCAACTTATACGCCATTCTAGGAAGCATATGAAACGGCATAAGAAGCCCTACGGCTGCACTTACAGGATATGCAATAAGCACTTCGGTAGCAAGAATGACTGGAAAAGACATGAGAGTAGCCAGCATTTCCAGCTCGAATCCTGGCACTGCAACGTGGAGGGATGCGGCAAGGTGTTGCCTCGTCGAGAGCTGTTCAGGTCGCATCTCCTCAACCATCACAGGCTCACAGATGGTCAAAAGGTCGAGGACAAGCTGGAAAAATGCAGACTGGGTCGGCACTGCGATCCACGCTTCTGGTGCGGGTTCTGCGATAAATTTATCGAAGTCACAGGGGAAGTGGTCAACTCTTGGACGAAGAGGTGCGATCACATCGACAACCACCTGTTTGGTAAAGAGGGAATGCCAAAGAAAAGCATGAACGAGTGGCGTTATCTCGAAGACAAACTAGCAGAGGAAGAATCCGAAAGTGCAATAGTGGAGAGACTACCTGAACTGAGCAAGAAGCGCAAGGCTACAGAAGCCTTGGATGCACGTCCGTCGAAAAAAACGCTCTACAGATGGAGATGTGTAAGTCTCCCACACCCTACCTATCACGAAGCATAGAGAGCTGACACGAGGAGCAGTGTCACTGTTCGCACATGGAGAGTTTGAGCATCAGCACCAGCTGCCAGGAGAGCGATTGCCAACACCAACGTTGCGATGACTGCCAACTGGAGGCGACTTTACTATCAGACGAAGACTCTGAGATGGTGGATCGGGAATCTGAGGAGGTGGATGAGGAATGAACGGGAGACGAAGTAAGGAGGTCATGGTTTAGTGTCGGGAGGCGAAGGCCCCTTCCTCTTCCTTTGTAGTCTCCTATTGCGAGGATAAGTTGAAACTGTCCGAGATGGGCGGATATACGATTGAGGCATATCGGTATGGGATGGGTGTAGCATCGCACAGGGGCAGTGTGTTGCTGAGCATGACAGTCGTACGGGCGCAATGATCGGGCCGGATCGACTGCGAGGTGGATAAAGTGATATTTAGTGTCCATGTATCTCCAGATAATAAAAGTTGGCGAAAGCGATCGTCTGAGGCGCAGCCAAAGCCATGCCTGTGGGATAAGCGCCGTCACCCGGGGCGGATGAAGATGGCGTCAAGTGTTACCGGCCAACGCGAGAAGCATTAGACGCCAGACAATGATGCCATGATACGACGCGAGCGCAGCACTGCCCACCTGTATATGGCACCAAAAGCAGGGAGAATTAGATACCTTGGGAGTAAACAACCCATCAATAACATCATTTTGGTAATTTTGGGAAAAGGAAAAAAGGCATCCTGATGCCTGCACGCTTGGCATTAGCAAGCGGGTTGCCTTATGCCTTATTTTGGCCTGGGGAAAAAGATCGTGAAGAGGTTTCTTCTTCACGAGGGTGCCTTTTCCCACCACGAAGATGCCTTTTTTTCCTTGGTCTTCTTTCTTTGGTGAGACATTTGACGTAGTATTGGCTGGTGTAGTTGTAGGTCTGAACTTGAGAGTTGTTGTCGCCATAATGGAGACGCATCAGTCGAGACAACTACACCAACGGATACCTGCACCATGAAAATTTCGATGAGAAAAGGGAGGGAAAACGTTAGAAATGCCGACGATGAGGATACGGCAGAAAGGTAGAAAGGACGAGGATATGAGAGAGAGAGAGAGAGAAACTAGATGAAGTGAGGGCAGGGCCAGGGGGTTGCGATGCGGCCGCTCACTCATTCGCGCGCCGGAGCATTTCCTTCTGATAGTATTTGTGTTTTTCCCCTTTCCTTCGGTCCTTGTGGCGGAAGTTTTCCTTTGCTTGGCCGGTTATCCGACTATTTTGTTCCTTTTTTTCTGCAGTGTTGCATTTGGGTCAGACCGGGTCTGACTTGTGCAATGATTTCCGCGAATAGAATCGTGCACCGAAGCCATCTGCCTCACGCATCACCTGTACTTTTGTATTTTCGAACTAAGCTGCACTCGTATTTACGCACATATTCGGGTGTCACTTGGATAGTGAGAGTAAGATACTGTCTCTGATGGCAAAAAGGTAAATTCGAAGGTAATATAAGGATGAAAGCGCAAGGGAGGGCAAAACGCTACAAATTTCACAAAGGCTGATGTGTCCTGGTTTTCGTTTCCGTTCGGCACCGAAATTTCATACCGAGCAGTGGTCGTATATACGGGCGTGACACACAGCGAACACGCAGCGCAATGGATGTATCTCCGCAGACTTTCTGATGTTACATATCCTCGCCTCAACTTGGAAAGTCAGAGTATGCTTGTATTTCGAGTCCCCTCTCCCCCCTTCCAAAGCCCCCCCTGTTTCCGGTTCCAGTTCCGGGCCTTGGGGCCGTGGTGCCCACGTGGAAGAGGATTTGGTAGAAGACAAGATGGGACGCACAAAAGACACAACGCACAAAAAGGTAAGACCAGCTAGGCAGACGGAAACAGGCTGGATGTTACCCCGGATGAAAGAGAAAGGCAAATACCACTTTGCCCACTTTGTGTGTAAGGTAGGAGGTGTGTCCTCTTTTGGGGTTTGGGTAGGCAGGGTGCTTGCGTACGTAGGTACTAGACGAAAGAAGGAAATATGGAGAGAGAAAGAAGGGGAAAGGGTATCAAAATTTTCCTTTCTCTCCTTCCTTCTAGAAGGAAAACTTGTTTAGAAGAGGCCAAAGAGGGTGGGTTTCATTTGTGTTCAGCGTGTGATAAAGATAGAAAATACCACGGGATGGCCCCCTCTGAAAGACCAAAGGGGCAGGAGCGCGAAGCCACAAGCAGAAATGCTGTGACTGCGTCAGAAGGGAAAAAGGGAAAAGGGGAGTGAAAGAGAGATAGTGTGGGAGAGAGAGGAAGAGTTTGTGTTGTGTCAATGTTACCGTGCCAGTGAGCGACATCCGCTGGCTGCATTAGCTGGCGTCTCCATGCGGCCGGGTTTGTCAACGCGTGAGGGAGTGACGAAGTGCCGACTGCTGGGTGTGGTCGCTCTGGGAGGGGAATTGGAAAAAATTGACGAGAGGAGGGCTGTGTACTGTGATGGTACATGTAGGCATGTAGGCATGCAGTAATAGCAAAGAGACAGACAGACAGCAGAATGGCAGAATACAACCAACCCACGGCACATCTGCACGCGGCTGCAAATGAAATCTGAGCTGTCGATTAAGAACCCTCAGTATTATGTGCCATGTATCTGAAAGAACAGGGGGGCAAAGATGAGAAACGAGCAAAGGGAGGTAGGATGGAGTGAGTTGCGAAACAGGAATAATAAGCGCCGTGTGCAATTCCTCGACCATTGGAGCGAGCAACTGAAGCCCTACCTGAACTGTGCATGCGTGGTGCCCACGAAGTACGTACGGAGTACTCAAAGAGGCTGCCGCCCTGAGAGGATGAAAGGAGACAACATGAGGTACGTCTCTGATCGGGATGGTAGCTTCCTGAGGCTATCCTGCCTGCTCGTAGATAGTACTGGCTATTCGGAAGAAAAAGACTGGAGACTCGAATGCGTACCTAGAATGGGACTTGTATGTACTCGTATCGCAACGTATTTGGAAGGGAGGGGTGGCGTCCATTCGCTTCATGTCTTCAGCTGAGGTCGGTCGAAATGGCTTAGCAGCAGCAGATGCGCTTCTCCTGATGGCCCAGGCGACTAGACGTCAGGGTCTAGGGTGTCCTGCAAGTTGCGAGACCTCGCCCTGCGCTTGGCTCGGCGTACTCGATATGATGCAAGGCAATAGGTAGCTTGCTCTGCTGCTGCATTAGTCCACCTGTGTCCGTGTCGGAAGAGGTAAGACGAGGAAGAGGAAACCGGGGAGATGCAAGAGAACCAATGTATCGGTACCAGGGGGCTGGAGATGACGGTGGCTTTTGGAGATGTAGATGTGATTGCAGATACACATGACGAGTTGCTGCTTTCAAGCAAGCCGTAAATGTATGAAGCATGTACTCCATACCCCCCAGGCAGCAAGCAAACCTCTGAAAGGCGGCGATTTGGGGGCCGCGAGCACGGTGCCTCGTCTTGCTTGTGCGGGCTCAACATGCCCTGCTTTGGCAGATGGTCACGCCCGCGCATCTTGCTGGTGCGGGATGCCGTGATTGGGTGTGGTGAGTTGGAGCCAGCTCCGTGTTGAAGCAGGAGCACAATGCAGCGCAGAGATGAAGGAACACACAGGCAGCCAGACAGGCAATGATACTAGACTATGAAGTGGGATGTGAGGGCATGGGTTGTGCAAGGGATGGAGGTGCAGAATGGCATCGTGGCGGGCGACTTATTTCCCGAAAGAGGCTTCATTGAGCGACGACATGGCGAAACAGCTAGAGGCCGTGTTTTGGAAGAGTCGAGACGATGAAACCCAGCTTCGTGGGGTTGTTTCGGGGCACGTCCATCAGCTTGGGAGGCACACCATCCTTCCAGAGTCGGTCCACGTTGTCTGTATTGTATGTGGTACGGCAGTCGAGAGTAGAGGCTGTCAAGCATCAGCATCAACCGGACAATGCCCCCATCCGCTAAGTGACATGCCTAAAGACTAAAAACAGGCGAACAAGGAGCATACATCCTCGCCCAGCGCTAGGGTCTCGAGAACGGGCCTGCTGGCGTCGTATTCTTGCCTTGTCTTGCCCTTTTTCTGGTGGCATTGCACCGCTGGGGCCGTTTTGCCTACCGGCCTTGAGATGAGCAGCAGTAGCACAAGACAGCGGGGAGCTGCTCGCCTTGATAATCTTGCACTTGATTCATCACATTTTGAACTTCGCCGAGACCGAACCAATATGTCATGGCGCCAAGTAACGGCGACGGCCTGACATGGGGCAGTGGCCAACCGATCAGTCAGTGCCAGATACCATCGTGCTGGGTAGATGTACAGGGTACTCGGCATTCGCTTGCTCGAGACGCAATCCTGAACATTATGTGTGCTTGCAATGGGGGGAAAGAGTATGGGCGTGCACGTGGCCCTGCAAGCAGAGGGAAGGGGGGTGTAAGTATAGTATAAGCGCGCAAGACAGATCGTCGTCTTCCATTGGCCCACCGAGTGAGGGTGAGCTGCATATCGTACTGGCATATCCTGGTGAGAGAGTATTGACAGGGATGCCAGGCCTTGAACATAATCCTCGAACCTAATGAGAGCCGGAGCCCGGCTCGGCGTGTTGGGCGGATGTGCAGAAGCATTTCTGCACGAAGTACGAGATAGGTGCCTTGTATTGCCGTCACCAGATAGACTTGGGTCAAGTACGCGAGAAGAGCTCGTGTATTGTCAAGCACCGTTGCTCAACTGGAGTTGGCCGCGACAAGACAGGCGTTCAAGGGCACACAGCGTTCTTCGGACGCTGGCGGGCCCGAGGCCCCTGCCCGCATTCCGGGGGAGCGGGAGATTTTGAGCAAGTCAGAGGAGGGCCGAATGCCGTGACGACAGTCAGCTGCTCGTACTAAAGTACACTCTATGGTTAGAGATTTGCCAATAGCAGCATAAGAACTCGATGACCCTTCGGGATGGGGGGTGGCCGGGGGAAGGGGGGGAAGGCAAGATGACGAGTGTGGAGGGTTTCACAGCGTCGGGGGGGCTGTGGAGAGAGTTCAGCTGTTGAGTCTGTCCTCGTTCTCGCC